CAGGGTGTTTCCCAAACATGGGCCAAGAATTCGATGGGTGGCTCTTGGGCCAGTATTCTGAAACTATTGTATTTGAAACAGGTCACTGAAGGAAACGTCGTTGGAAAGAGGTTTGAAGTGGAATCCAAAGATCCACCTTTATTTCTTGCTCTTTTAAGAATTGTCAGTTTTGGGTTACGCTGTATTAGAACTTAGGAGACGATGTGATCCAACGAAAACTACTAACTCATTCAGTTCGTCAGATACAGCCAAATCGCAATATTTTTAAATAGTAACGACTTAAAAATAATATTTTTGTAAATCAGAACGTGCCTCGATAGAGTTGATTAATCCATCTACATCAATGTAACGCTACCTGCAGTTCTTTCAAGCAAATTTATGCATATTTAATTTCGATAACTTTATCCGTTTTTAAGAAAAAGATACCCGTGGTTTTCAGGTCGCTGATGACGAATCTGTTATGAGAATTTCCAAATTTTCAAAACGGGGGAACCAGTATTTGGACCCCAAGACGAATATCCTAAACATGATTCCTGTGACCCCCCTGACAGAAATGCTGGAAAATACGCCATTCTCCACAAAGCCTCTATGTCTTATTCGCATATTGGAGCCTCGATATACTATAATTCACATGCCTAAAAAAAATCACTCTCTTTCAGTCCTCAAAAAGACATCCCACCACTATTTGCCAAAAAGCCAGGAACTGCGATCTGTTCTATCTTCAAATATTCGCCCAAGTTACTTTATTTATTATGCAAATATAAAATTAGGCTATCTACACAGGATGTTGCATATTAAATGCGATACAAAAGGAAGAATCAAATGTAATAATGATATAAGAAAGCATCGCCAAGGCTGTTTAATATTGCATTTTTATTCGTGCCAACTCCTACAAGATCGTGAAAAACATATAACGAGGCAGAAGATGAGGCGGACATTGGTTATTTTACATGAAATTATAGTGATTAGCGAATATAAAGGCAGATTTAATTAAGATGACGTCTGCTAATTGTCGGTAAACCGCAGATAATTGTCTAGTTAAAATTAATGCCGACGGTTACATTTTATAATAACTATGAGCTTTAGATGGAATGATAGCGAGGTAGGATTCCAATGTTTAAAGTACTCGTTTCACGCTTTGGGCTCTAATTTCACCCGCGGGCGATAACCGCTTCTGTAACCCCCAATATCAAATATATAATCAAAATCACAATAAACAGTATGTGAAGTAACATGAGTGGCATATCGTAATCCAATAACTCACGGTATGATGAAGTAAAACAAAACATCAAACAAATCAAAATCAAGACGAGCACGCTAAGAAAACGTATGTCGTATATAAATAAATTTAGTGCGAAATTTAGCCAATGCCTACTCTTACATTTAACCGTATTATTAAGGTAGGTTATACAGGAAATTAGAGTACCTATAATGTAAATGAGTTACAAAATCAAAACGTGAAACTAGATATATCGCTCTGCTAGAAGCATGTGCCTATTATTTTTATATAATAATATAGCGTACTTTGTTATCTCATTCACCTGATTATATAATTTCACTCCGTTATATGAAGAAGATCTTTTGAATACTGTTTAATGATAACGAGGTATACCCACGTCTTAAATTTAGACAATGTATGTTTCTTATGTATATATATAAGTTTTTCAAATATACTAAGTGACATATAAATCCGAACACCCAGTTTAAATAATTTTATTTTAATAAAATTTTGTATAAGTAGTTAATGAAGGATCATAATAAGTAAATGATAAAAATTTCAAAATGATTGCACTGCTTTAAAGCCCTTTGACCTTTAATAACACTGATCAACAGCCAAAAAATATCCTAAATAAAATCAACAAAATATTACTATTTTTAATGTAAACCGGAATGAAACTGATTTTTTCAATATTAGTTCAAGTTTTAGAGATACGGTAATTGTATGTGTTCCTGCTGTGACAGTGTTAATATACTGTAATTCACAAGAATGCACGTGCTACATTTTTATATTCGGCAAGGAAAGATGATGTAATCGGCATGATTGTGTTACGTTATACATACGTGTACATTATATTGTTTTATATTAGACATTTTTTCCTCAGTAGGCTGACAGCGTTCATGCAAGATGTCTCGAAAGTGTGCAAACAATCCAGATCAGTTTTGTTACGTGTGTGGTGATGTGACTTTTGCGTCTATTTCGGTTGTAAACTAGGTGATCAAGACAAACAGTGGGCACCCCACATCTGCTGTAATACATGTGCTTCAAGTCTGAGGAGCTGGTTAAATGGCAAAAAACGGTCTATGCGCTTTGTTGTCCCAATGGTTTGGAGAGAGCCTACAAATCATATTAATGATTGTTACTTTTGCATGGTACCTTGTGTTGGACAAGCCACAGGTATGTCCAAGAAAAAAATCGGTTATTAACTACCCAAACATACCATCTGCGATGAGACCGGTGCCTCACAGTGACGAAAATCCTATTCCAAAACCCCCAGAATCCTACACTTGCGAATCAGAAAACGAATCAGATCATGGCGATCGAGTGATTCGTCAGGAAGAAGATATGCCATCAACGTCAAGATATCCTGATTTTATACCGAGCACGTCATGCCACCAACCGCACAAAATAACACAGTCAGAATTAAATGATCTTGTAAGAGATTTAGAACTTCCAAAATGTAAGGCAGAGTTACTTGGATCAAGACTGCAGCAGTGGAACTTGTTAGAAGACTATGTTTCGGTATGTGTTTTTCGTAAACGCCACAAAGACTTAGAACCATTTTTCAATATGGAGAATAACTTGGTTTTCTGCAGTAACATTAACGGCTTACTGGCGGCTTTAAATATAAACTATAACCCAGAAGAATGGAGATTGTTTATAGACAGTTCAACACTGAGTTTAAAGGCAGTGTTATTGCATATTGGAAATATTTTACAATCTCTTCCTGTGGGGTATGCAGTTCACATGAAAGAATCATATGACAATATGAAGTACCTATTGACATGCATAAAATACGATGAGCACCAATGGCATATTTGTGGCGATTTGAAAGTTGTTGCAGTTTTACTTGGGCTGCAGCTAGGCTACACAAAGTTTTGCTGTTTTTTGTGTGAATGGGACAGTCGGGCAAAGGCACTTCATTACACCAGACAAAACTGGCCTGTTCGTCAATTCCTAGAGCCAGGTAAAAAATGTACAGCATATGCCATTAGTAGATTCGAAAAAAATTTTATTACCACCACTGCATATCAAGTTGGGCCTAATGAAAAACTTTGTCAAGGCATTAGATAGAGATGGGTCAGCTTTTCAATACCTGCGTCAGAAATGTCCAAGACTAAGTGAGGTAAAGGTTAAAGAAGGTATTTTTGTTGGGCCACAGATTCGAAATATTTTGAAAGATACACAGTTTGAAAACACTTTAACAGGTATTGAAAAAACTGCTTGGAATGATTTCCGTCTGGTGGTCACTAATTTCTTGGGAAATAGAAACGCTGACAACTATAAAACCCTTGTCAAAAATATGCTGTCATCGTATCAAAAGATGGGCTGTAATATGTCTCTTAAGATACATTTCCTACACTCACACCTGGACTTTTTTCCTGACAATTGCGGAGCCGTAAGTGATGAGCACGGCGAACGTTTTCATCAGGATATTTCAACAATGGAAAAGGTACCAGGGAAAGTGGAATCCTTCCATGCTTGCAGACTACTGTTGGATTCTTGGTAGAGATGCTCCAGAAACGATCCATAAAAGAACAGCAAAAAGACAGCGCATATAGTGATTCTTATAAGTATATGAATCTTGTTACTTTTTTTAATATACCCTTAAAAATAAAAAGTTTTTTTCTAAACTGCAACTAACTTTTTTATTGCATTATCATTTTTGGATTCAGCGCCCCAAAATTAACAAAGAAGTGCACTTTTCCCACAAGATACAATTAAAAAACTAAAATTTGTTGTCCAGCGTAATGTGTGGATGCATCCTGACGTGCTACGCATTCTAAAACGCACCTAGGCATGCTTCTGATCAGGTGGTCAATGTCCTCCTGTGGTATCTCATTCCAGGCAACCACCAACTCCTCTCGAAGTGCTTCTAGAGTCTGAGGAGGACGTTGCAAATTGAGCAATCTCCTACCCATCATATCCCACACGTGCTCAATTGGGGATAAGTCGGGAGATCTTGGTGGCCATGGTAACAATGTGACATCATTATGTTGAAAGAAGTCTATTGTGACTCTTGCAACATGTGGTCGGGCATTATCTTGTTGGAAAGTTGGATCTGCCAGGGTGTCAAGATGGGGTTCTAGAACTACGTGGATATAACGCTGCGCGTTCATGTTACCTCTGATGAAGATTAAAGGTGACCTGGAACCATAAGCTATAGCACCCCAAACCATAACTCCAACAGTGTGATGAACATGTCTTTCAACAAAAAACTGTGGATTCCTCATTTCACCACGTCGCCTTCTAACCCTGACACGACCATCGTGCATGCCTAAACAAAATCCAGACTCGTCATTAAAGACAATACTGTTCCATTCCTGATCCCAGAGTGACCGTTGTCTGCACCACTCAAGGCGATTACGTCGGTGTTCTCGAGTTAAAGGGAGGACCCAGTGTGGCCGGTATGAAAACAAGCCAAAACTTCTCATTCGTCGGTAAACACTTCGCATGCCAATAGGTCTTCCGTGTTCTGCAAACCATTCATTTGCAATGGACCTGGTAGTGGAGAAACGGTCCCTTAAGGCCAATAATCTTAGATCGCTTCACGGTCTGTTGTTCTACGGCGGCGTCCAGTGCCCCTTGCTCTTTGCGTACGGCCTTCTCGAAGCCATGCCTGACAACACCTAACCACAGTGTCTTCAAATTTCATCGAAATCCGTTCAGCCATTTTGGCATGATTGAGCAACAAACCCACACCTTCTCATTTATAATATTGATAAAGAAGTAGGGATTATAATGTCTCTACGATCTAGATATTGAAAAATCACTTTTCCAGGGCAAAAGCTTTCCCTTCGAGTTCGACGTCCGAGTCCCGTTCCTAGTGCGAGGTCCAGGTATAACTCCTGGTGCAGTAGTTGACGACATCGTCCTCAACATCGACTTGGCACCCACGTTTTTGCACATGGCGGGCGTAGAACCTCCTCCGCATATGGACGGGAGATCGGCACTACCCCTTCTATTAGTACCGGATGCCGTCAAAAGGAAGAGGGTCAGATGGCCGGACACGTTTTTGATTGAAAGGTGAGTACATCTAATCCTCAATAGGATAATATACAATAGCATAATATTTCCGTGCATTTTTAACCTTAAATCCGTCCTTTTGTGGAAAACCCTGCTGAGAAATCTATAGTTCTTTCGGTATACCTATCTACCATTTTTAGCCTTCGGATACCGCTTTTTACCGCAAAAGTTTCGATCATATACAGGGACCCCTAGACGTCCACGTCTACCATTTTTTGCAATAAAAGTTGCTGCTTCTTAGGAGCTGGAATCCCCCTAGCGTTCTTCAATTAATTATCCTATCAAGGTTTCCGTGGGGAACAGGTTGACGTGGGATGAAGAGAAGAATCTGTCAATTACGTCGGATATTTTGCGGCTAGACAGAAAGTCAGCCGCCCATCTGCAAAGCTCCTATAGAAGGCCATAGGCGATCACCGAAGAAGGACTGCAATCCATGGATATTGACGTTGGTTGTGTGGCATGTTGCACCGTCTTGTTGGAAATAAACATCGTCCATATCCATTCCTTCAAGTTGCGACAAAAAATAGTCCTCGTGATATCGCTCAGAATTGACGGTAACGGCGTCCCCGGCCGCATTTTCGAAAAAGTAAGGTCCGATGATGCCTTTTGACCACAATGCACACCACACAGTCACTTTTTGAGGATGCAACTGGTTCTCGAAAGGCCCAATTCTTGGGATCGACGCGTTATTGATTGTTTCGGATCGTCTCTCACACTCTCCTTCACAACAGCAATATTTTCCGGTGTGCGAACGCTCCTTGGCCGGCCAGAGCCTGGCAGATTTGCCACAGAACCTGTTGCCTCGAATTTACGCACCAGACCACCGATGGTTGTTTCGTTTGGGCGGTTGTTGCGACCGAAATGTTCACGAAGCGCGCGAAACGTGTTTTTTATTTTTGCACACTTTTTGTAGTGCTCTTGAATAACTTTAATGCGGTGTTCAATCGAATACGACTCCATAGCGATCAATGGTAAACATTCAACTAACAAAATGACATGTCGGTGACAGAAAACAAAGATGGCGTCTATGACAAATTGACGTTTACTTTCCTGCGTCCCTATTGGACAACCCTATATTATTTAAACCTGATTGACAACCAATCATTCTCTTCTCACAATCTTGCCGCGTTTCACCCTGTCGTCTTCTTAGATCAGGAATTCATTTTGGAAGCTACAAATCACTTCAATTTATTTTTTTATGCAGCAAAAATTTCAGCTCCTCGGTCTTTTTTCCCTCAGTCAACTGTGCCACAGAAATTCGAAAAATCCAAAGACCAATATTCCTAGCATACACAAAACTGAAATTTCGACATCGAACCTATTGCTCATGCTTACACGTTGCCGAAAAATATCTTTATCATTCCCACAGTTCTGGACGTCGTGAAACCCCCTATTTGGACCAAAAGCTCGAGCGTCTCCACAAGTACTCGCAAGCGGCAAACTTCAGAAACGTCACTGAAACTCCTTCTACCAGCACTGAAGCTCACGTATCTCAACCAACATATACTCCATCAACGGTATCCAGTTTAATACAGTCTCATATAACTAGCGGTCCTAGGGTTTACGATTCTGGAGAAGATCCGGCTTCTTTGGATACTTCCACCGATGGTGATGACACCGACGATGAAGCTGATGACGATGGTAAGTATAAAGCAATTCAATTCAATTGGCCTAGAAGCAAATTTTAAACCTGGGATCAAAGACTAGGTTTTCGTAGATGAAGCAGATGATTCATGAAGAATTTCTTGATTTATTATAGCGATTACACAAATTTCATGGAAATGTAGTAATAATTGCAACTTCTATGTGCATTTAACTGCTTAAACAATCCCAACAAAAATAAGTGAGCCTTATTCATGGCATGCTATTCAATAACCATAAAATTGTCATTTACACAACTAGGCCATACTTTGGGTAGTACTGAGACCATTTCTTCTTTTAGAAGACGATGAAGAGGATGACGATATCGACATCGAAGAAAAGACCAACGTGGACACGATCCACCTGCCCCCGATCAACCCGTTGGACGAAAGTACCATGCAACTGGACAACAGACTCCTCCCGGTACCACCTTACTCGGCCAAATTGGAACGGCTCGCTGTTGAGTGCATGAGGGACGATACGAAGTTGCCTTGCAAGAGGGGACAGAAGTGGTTCTGCGAGAACGATAACGGAAGATGGAGGAGGCATAAATGCAAGAGTGTGGCGCCAACGAACGTGGTTGGACTGGAGGAGAGGGGGTACAGGAAATGTGCTTGCTTCACCCCCGATGGGCTGGTTTACAAGAAGTTACCTGTAAGTTGTTCAAATAGTGCAAAGTAATGTACTAGATAGCGACGCAAGGTACAAAAAGGTTCGGCACGGGTATCATGTAAAAAAACCTACAAAACGTCAAAAAAAACCTATCAGACGTCAACTAGCAGACTAGGTAGTTTTTAGGGCACAAACAGTCATTCCACGTTTGCTCACTAGGATCGTTGTGAACGGCCATCTATGAAGGAATCACTTAACTAACTACACGCATTATTGGTTGCATAGTTTAGTTTGTCTGAGTGATCTGTGTCTGTAGTTTTTATCTCTGAGAAGAAAGTTGGTTGAACAACAAGATCGCATCTGGATGATTATGTGTATTGGTCTGAATGTGTATAAAAATCAGTGATGTTTGCTGTGTGAGAAAATCATTACTGAATATGCTGAATATGACGGGTTATTTATACAGGGTGTCCCAGAAGTCGACGTCAAGCCGAAACCGGGTGATAGGCAAAGTCATAACAGCTATCAGAAAAATATTTAAAAAAATTTTGTGTATGTGTTTTGAAAATTATAGGTCTTTGAAAAAGATATAGAAAGTTCACACCCTACGGTAGTCTGTCAACTCCTGTTACTGCAAATATTAACTTTTTTTGGATTTTATTTTTACAATGTAATGATGAATAATGCATTTTCAAACTGGTGTCTCAACCCTACTGCCAACTTTTCTCGTTCAGGAAAAATTGCCACTTATTTCCCAACCAAGTATTCCAAAGTAAAACTTTGCTCAACTTTAACTGGCTGTACTGGAAAAAAATGTACTACGAGAGTTTGGCAAGTAACCTTAAAAGTTGGCGCATTTAATAACGATTCCAAAATGGTATAACACTTAGAAGATTACTCGTTAACTTATGCACAATTTTTATTTGAAAAAAAACTGATGAAAATTTTTCAAAATTTCCTAATTAAACAGCGATTATGAAAACGCACAAGGACCCTTAAGGATAACTGTTTGCACAACAGTGGGCGTCAAAATGCTGCTGATGATGATTTACCTTTACAGCAAATGCTCAAACTATTTTCCTTCAGCCGCAATACACGCTCGACATCTTCTTAAAAAAGATCGGGTTATTAAACGAGCGAATCCACGGTTATTAACAAACTCAGCTGCTTCCAATAGTCTTTGCCGTAGCTCAGCTACATTTTGAATCGGCTTGAAATACACTTTTTCTTTTATAGTTCACCAGTAAAAAAATCTAAAGGATTCAAATCAGGTGATCGGGCTGTCCACGGTATTGTACCAGACCGCCTTATCCATCTGCCTGGACAGTTTTGATCGAGATACTCTCTCACTGAGAGTGCATAGTGCGCTGGGCAGCCATCATGCTGAAACCACATGTCCCTGTAAATACTCAGTGGCACGTCCACCAATAAATTTTGCACATGATTTTTCGAAAAATCCAAATAAACTTCAGCAGTCAAAGTCTCTGGGATCTTGGGATCTCAAACGGACCGATTATTTTACCATTTAAAATTGCTGTCCAATGGTTTATCTTGAAGCGATATTGAGATTTATCTTCTCTCATCAAATGTGGATATGCTACGTGCCACTCGTGTAAGTTATGCAGGTTCATGTACCCATCTTTCTTAAATGTGGTCTCATCCGACCATAAAATTTTTTCAAAGAACTGCGGATCTTTCCTGTGTCTTTCTAACATTGTGCGACAAAAAGCAACTCGGGGCTCATAATCCCGGGGCAGGAGAGGTTGAACACGCTATATGTGGTATGGATGAAGCACATCACTTACTTGCTATTGCACACTTTGATACCGATCAGTACTCCTTCGTTTACTGCGCATCTTTACATGTTCGTGCTTGTTGATTTCGTACTGTTACTAATTTTGGATTCGTGAACTCTGTTGATCGCTTGTGATTTGGATTTGGACTGTTTAATTGTTCTTCAAAACAACATTTGCTTTCCTTAGACTATCTTTGATAGTGTGATTGTGCAGTGCCGCTATGTCCGTGTACACCGTACAAGAATATGCTAACATGCACCTCATTTATGGGGAATGCAGATGCAACGCTAGTGCTGCAGCGAGACTTTACTGTGAGAGGTACCCGAATGCAGCTCGTCATCCAGATCATCGAGTGTTCACAAATGTGCACCGCTTACTGTTCTCAGAGGGCAAAATGTCAAAAAAAATCGGCATCATGTCACTTTTCATGATACATGATACCCGTGCCGTTCAAAAAATCAGTATCTTTTCACGTAATATTTTGAGAAAGGCAGAGCCGGATATCACAATTTTTCTCTGAAACATTGCCTCGGTTATATTGTTGTCTTGAAACAACACTGCCAAGGAAAGTCACAGCTTTGAAAGCACCCCACAAATCCCAGCTATCAATCTTCGATGTATCAGTAAGGTGGAAATGTTGATGTCCAATGACACGCACCGCTTAATTTCCAGTTGAATAACATGACGAGAAGAGATCTAAGAATGGGCAGAATCAAGAGAGATGTTGATTTGGACAACATTTTATTTGAACAGTTGGGTGAAGAAAAGATCCATAAAATGGCAAAAAGGGACATCGAAGATACACTCAGCAGCCTTGAAGATACGATGGGTGATGTCGAGGATCAAATTTACGGGCTGAGGGTGAGCCATTTTATAAAAATAAAGTCTTTATCCATTATATTGTTCAAAGTAGGTGTCATATACTATTTACAACGATACCATAAATTAATGACATTCATAATCTTCAACCATCAATGGGTCAATTTTCGGCAAATGTATGCTTTCTGCTTTTACGAGCCGAACGTCCATGATTGTTTTTTTTTTAGGTTGATTAGGAGTTTTTTAGAACTATTTAAAGAAGACAACGAGTGACATACGGATGACGTGTCTTTGTTCACAAATTGTATGACGTCACACCATGGCCGATATTATTTTTCCCGTTTCGTATTAAACATGAAAGATATACTTTTTAAAATTGGACATATGCATCTTGCGCTTTCAAAAATTGAAATCCATATACAGTGAAATCTCCTTTGCATTTAATGAAAACTCAATTTATTGAAGAAACTGGAACATTAAAACGTATACGTATATTTTTAAAATAAACAAAAAACCTTAAACTTCAGAAAAACTGTACATACATTATGTATTATATAATATGTATGTACATGCATATATCTAGGAACACAATACAATGAAATAAAAAGTCACTTTGAGAACGCAAAAATTCATATAACATATTTTCGTTTCTCCTCTTTTTCTTTAAGAATACTCTGTATCCCACTAAGTTTCGACAAAACTTTTGAGCTACTTGGTCATGGTAATAGGTTTACCATAATTTGGAATAGCTTCTGTTGGTACTGGAACCTTGTATTTCAACTAGACTTTCGATTTCCTGGCCTGAATATGGATCTTGAACATACAAACTGTCATCTAGGTTCAAAAAATCATAAAGGTTTTCGTTAGCAGTCAATTTCAATAAATTCTTATTTTTGAGGGTATCTGTAAGGACATCAAGTGGTAAGACACCTTCTGGGTCAGGTGTATCAGACTCATTCAACCAGTCGTCAATTTGCATATTTTCATGCTTGAATACTGCTTTGCGGAAGTAATTTTGCAATGTTTCTTTGGTTACTTATAATTATATACATAGATACAGTTTTAAATAAATTAGGAACATTTCTTAAGTAAAATAAAACATAATACTTTCTGGAAACAAAATCCACGCTGAGTGACGTCAGCCAAAGGACTGATTTCACTCAGCGAAATTGGACACATTTTTTTGCAGACACTACACTATACGGAATATGTCTTTCCATTTTTAAACAAAATGAGCCCAAATTCATCGTTTTCTTTGTTCTTGGGGCGTCTAACCATATTTTTTTAAGTTACCGGTTCACTGCTCACCAACTTTGTGACGTTTACGAATAAACCTAACCTCACTTATGCTATTCTATACATTGTCTTTATTATTGTATACTTTGTATTCATTGTATACGCAATGTGTACATTGTATATATATATATATACATTGTATATATATATATATATAACTTGAGACGTGGTCATTGTCGTCTAGACCAGTTAGGTGAAAAATTAAAGTTGGGTACTTCGACAAAAATTTAAGCAAAGAGGACTCTTTATACTTTTTTTATTCTCTCTAGCTTTCAGTGGACTTTGCCATCATCATCAGGAGCTGCAATTACATTGATAACAGTAGCAACAATAGTGTAAAATGAATTTAAATTGACTTAACATCCTCACATACTACTGTAAGTTAAGTCAATTTAAATTCATTTTACACTATTGTTGCTACTGTTATCAATGTAATTGCAGCTCCTGATGATGATGGCAAAGTCCATTGAAAGCTAGAGAGAATAAAAAAAGTATATATATACAGGGTGACTTTGAAGATGAGTCATTAATTTTCAGATAATGATTGTAGAAGGAAGATAAACCAAAAGATGTGTGTAAAAATAAAAAAAAAATGTTTACCTTGTTTTATAAAGTATCCTCCCGACAAGTATTTCAGTGCGGACCTGTATTTGATCGTGCGGTCTTGGAGCACCGGCATGCCCTCCCCTGTGAGGTCTTAAGTCACCTGATTCACGAGCCCTTTGTACTACATTAACAAAGGCACGAGGGGTTGGTTGCACTCGATTGGGAAACCGATCCGCATAAATCCGTGATGCCGCGTAAATAAGAATCATGTCCACATGTTGAGCATTTTCGTAAACATGTGTCATTTTTTATTTCGTTTGAGCCACGCAACAGACACCACTATCCACTCACGCGTTACCGACTGACACTGACTGTATACAACTGAATAAAATAAGTGTAAAAACATCGTTCCAAATTCTTTCGCTTTTTTGTTTCCGATGCGATTAACCGATAAGGCGGATTATATCCGTTGTTGCCAAACACGAGCACATAATATTATTATTGAGACAGGGCGGTACTCAAACATCCAAAGGGCTATAACTTTGTTACTTTAATTTTACCAGAAAAATGGTAAAGGAAAAAAACATTTCTTTTGATCAGATCTACTCACTGTTAAAATAAATGACTCAACTTCGAAGTCACCCTGTATATATATACAGGGTATATATACATGATTCTTATTTACGGGGGGGCAGTCTTTACAAAATGCTCCCGGATGCATCACGGATTTACGCGAATCGGTTTCCCAATCGAGTGCAACCAACCCCTCGTGCCTTTGTTAATGTAGTACAAAGGGCTCGTGAATCAGGTGACTTAAGACCTCACAGGTGAGGGCATGCTGCTCCAAGACCGCACGATCAAATACAGGTCCGCACTGAAATACTTGTCGGGAGGATACTTTATTAAACAAGGTAACATTTTTTTTTTATTTTTTTTTTTATTTTTACACACATATTTGGTTTATCTTCCTTCTACAATCATTATCTGAAAATTAATGACTCAACTTCAAAGTCACCCTGTATATATATATATATATATATATATATATATATATATATATATATATATATATCGAGACGTAGACGATTAATGTGTACGCGTAAACGACCATCACTGATCCCCGGTTTACCCGAGAAAATCCTATCGAACATGGTGCCCGGCACGATTGAGAAATACAAAAGCGATACTCTCAACAGAAAAAAATAAGGCGTTTCCTTTTATTTTGTTTTTTGTCCGGTTAGGAGAACATTTTCTCGTGTCCAAGAGCGATTTAATACAATGCAAACTATATGAGAGTCGATCGGGACCATGGGAAACTGCCCGTTTAAAGTACATTGATCTTTACAATCGTATTTTACCTCGAATATAAAAAATACAATTCTTTCTTTGTAGGTCAGTACGAATACTTCCAACGAACCAACTTGGGACTCAAACGCCATCTCGAATCCAGGCTGTATCATCACCAGAGGCAAAATCAACTGTTCCACGGTCATCTACAAAGACAAGAAAACTTGGAGGCAATCGAGGCACAGAATAGAAAACGAAATACAGCAACTCAGACACAAACTAGAAACTTTAAAAGAAATCAGGAGACATCTTAAAAACACGAGACCTCTTGACGAGAGCGGTGAAGTCAACGGAACCGAGTTGAATACCTTCAATGAGTTGAACTTCCAGCATAACTCTTTACCAGTGCTCCACAACAAAGAGATCCCAAGACCGATACCATTAGATGTCAACAGATTCAAGAAGAAAAGGAAGAACAAGCCACCAGTTTCTTCCACGCCATCTTTGGACGATTTTCTTCCTGAGTCGTTCAACGATAGTCTCGAGGTGAACGGTACCGATTTTGATCAGGAAGTGACAAGATCGACTCCAGAATTTACTACAGCGATGCCAACTATGCACAGTAATCCTCACAGGCATAGTCATCACAGAACCCATTCAAGTACAGGGAGTATGGGGATGAGTACTACTACCCCATCGGGTATTTTTGAAAATCGGGGTAGGAAGACCCCAACGATACCAAGGGTGAGTTTTTTAAGAGTATTCTCTATTTTTTAAGACGTAATTGGCCGGAGAAGTGTATTTTTACTTAGTTTCCATCTGAAAATAAACACTATAAATCAGCGTTAGGTCAAAGTGAATCTCCATAATATCTGAATACTGACTGGATTTCATATTACTATTAAATGCACAGATCAAATTTGTATCCAAGATTTTACCACTGAATTGCATAAGGGTATCATATCATGGTTTTGGGGTCGCAGAATTCAAATCTGAACTTTGTATTTTTTTTGTTAATCCGATTTTTGACTAACGCTAGCAGAACTGAAAAAAGCCTCCCCAGATAGATTGGTCTGAAGGGTGCCGAGCCCGTCCGTTAGATAAGAGTCGTCGATCAGCCAGACAGGCCTTGTCGGGCCTTAATTTGACCCAAAAAAACTACACGTTGAGGTTATAGAATCAAGCATTTTTACCAACGTTGGCCTCTAAATAACGTTAATTGACCTTGAAATAACTTTTGGCCTCCCTAGTCAAAACATACGCCGCCAGATTTTGATGTAGTTACCCAAAGACCTACAAAATAGACTTTTTCCAAAATGTTTAAGCAATTTTTATAAATCTGACCTTGACCTGACACTATACAGGGTTGTCCAAATTAAGTGTCCACAATTAATAACTTTGTTATTAGTGAAAATACAAAGTTGTTTGAATTAGCAAACTAGTAGCATTTTTAACGCTGGTAAAAATGAGAAATAAAAAAAACAATTGAGAGTCGTTATTTTGATTTTTTTCAGTAAAATAACATTTTTTTAAATGGAAACCCCTGTATATTATATTTTTTTCTGTTAAAGCATCAAATTTTAAACAAAAAAGCTTACAATAACTTTTCTCCTAGGTTACAAATTGTTGAAGTTATGGCCTCCAATCTGAAACAATTAAATTGTATCGACAAACTTTATTTTCAACATCAACTTATAATCTTACAAAATACAATAACAATTTTTTTAAAGAAGATGCTCGAAAACACCACCTTGTTCTTCAATACATTTTTGGGCACGTTTTTCAACTGCTCGAACTGTCTTAAGTATGGTCCTACCATCTATCTGGGTTATCTTTTCCCTAACTGCAGTCTTTAACGCGTCAAGGTTATCGTACCTTCGCTTGTAAATTTGGTTCTTTAAGTAACCCCACAAGAAGTAATCAAGTGGGTTTAGATCTGGTGATCTGGGAGGCCACTGTATTGGGCCATTTGTTCCTATCCACTGATCATTAAAAGTAGTACTTAGAAAATGATAAGTACCTCTGGAGTTGTGGGCAAGTGCGCCATCTTGCTGAAAATGCAGATGATGTCTACTTATAAGATCCAATTCGTCTAAGAAATTAATCAGAATTTCTGACATAAATTCCACATATCTTTCACCAGTTAGGGTTCCCTCATAAAAGAACGGGCCAACAATTTTTGAACCAATTATACCGCACCAAACGTTGAAACTGAAACGGACTTGTGGGCCTCTTGGATGTACTAACAAAAGATTTTCTCTTGACCAATAATGGTGGTTTTTTCTATTAAACATTCCAGAATTTGAAAAATTTTATTCATCTGTCCATAAAAGGTAACGAAAGTTATTTACATTTTGGCGACAGAAGCTAAGATACCAATGGCAAAAAACAAGTCTTCTCTCTGGATCCCCTGCCAAAAGCGTTTGAACTGGTCGGTACTTATACGGAATAAATTTGTATTTTTTTAAAATCCTTTGAACAGTACCATAACTGAAATTAGAGTCCTTGAGAATATCTGCTATTGAATTCTCACGATAAGCTTCAAAATATCCAATAACTGCAATTTCCGTGGCCTCGCTTATTATGAATTCTTTTTTTGCCCTTGTTTTAGCAAAAACATTTTCGTTGCCCCTAAATTTTCGATAAAGTCTCAGAAAATATCGTTCATACGGTTGAATGCGAGCGGAATATAATTCACTGTAGTATTCTCTTGCTCTCAAGGAGGATTTTCTGCACACTAAATAGCATTCTAACATATCACACTTTTCTTCATGGGAGAACATTTTTCTTTAAATTAATGACACAATAAAGCTTATAAACAAGTATTTACACTAATGTTTGACATTATTTGATTTTATCATTGTTTTCCAAAGCCTTCTAGTTGCGAGTATGTCCAGTTTAACAATTTGTCGCTTATCTTAATGCTGTCAAATCGCGAACGCCATGTTGTTTTCATAGCCGTCTTAATATTATAATACTGCAAATAATTAAAAATATTTATCGTTATTTTGACTTTATTTTTGACTTTAGCGGAAAAGTCATTATGAACTTTTTTGTTTAAAATTTGATGCTTTAACAGAAAAAAATATAATATACAGGGGTTTCCATTTAAAAAAATGTTATTTTACTGAAAAAAATCAAAATAACGACTCTCAATTGTTTTTTTTTATTTCTCATTTTTACCAGCGTTAAAAATGCTACTAGTTTGCTAATTCAAACAACTTTGTATTTTCACTAATAACAAAGTTACTAATGGTGGACACTTAATTTGGATAACCCTGTAGAGGTCAGCACACCTCGTTATAGTGATATGGGTCCCTAAAAACTCAGATATCCCTGTGGGGTCCAGTGATAACTTTTAGGTCAAAGGTTGAACTGTGTTATTTTTGATATTGCAGCCCAAAACAGATGAGCTCATGTCTAATCCGAAGAAAAAAGTGAAACAGCACTTATGTCACTGTGAGATCAAAGACCCGTACATTCCAGAAGAAAAGGATGTTTTGAAAGAAGAAAAGCGGCGGTTGAAGGAAGAGAGGTTAAAGAAGAAATTGAGGAAACAAAGGAAAAAGGAGCAATTAGAAAAGGTGAGGAGCTATACTAAGTCAGTCTACTTGACGCCAAATGAAATTTAAAAAATATTTATTGAATCTGTAATATGGTGCTAACGTTGATGTAAATGTTTAATTGCACTATTTTGTTCGTCAGTGTCATTTTGTATTTTCAGTTGCTCCTCTAAAAAACTAAAAGTCCCTCGGGATTGATAATGTTGATACGACGCATTTCTATTTTACGTGACAAGGGAACATAACTAGAAAAGTGCCAATTGGTGAAAGCTTTGTGAGTTTGGAAAACCGATCCAGTAGCAGCGCGGCCTAGTTATGGCAAAAATGAAAAATTTCAAAACGTTCCAAACTTCGTTTTCGATGTCCTCGTTTCTGATCATTTTAAAAAATGTTTAGATGGATCTTCATCATGAAAAATATAAATTTCGTTTCTAGGCGTTTTCTAATCAGAAATGTTGATATCGTGTAGCTAAATGTTGAATAGATGTCAATGCGAGAAAGTACTGAGTCAATCTACTTGACGCGATTTTTGTTTTCAGGAATGCAGTCACGAAAGAATGAACTGCTTCCACCATGACAACGATCATTGGAAGACAGCCCCACAATGGACAGCGGGACCTTTTTGTTTCTGTATGAACGCAAACAACAACACATACTCTTGTGTCAGGACGATCAATTCTACTCACAATTTTTTGTACTGCGAATTCACCACTGGAATGGTCACATTCTACAATCTAAGAATAGGTAAGTCAAGTTTTCAGCATGTATACTAAGTGACATATAAATCTAACACCCAGTTTAAATGGTTTTATTTTAATAAAATTTTGTATAAGTACTTAATGAAGCATAATAAGTAAATGATAAAATTTCAAAATGATTGCACTGCTTTAAAGCCCTTTGTCCTTTAATAATGTGTGGATGCACCCTGATGTGCTACGCATTCTCCAACGCGCCTAGGCATGCTTCTGATCAGGTGGTCAATGTCCTCCTGTGGTATCTCATTCCAGGCAACCACCAACTCCTTTCGAAGTGCTTCTAGAGTCTGAGGAGGACGTTGCAAATTGAGCAATCTCATACCCATCATATCCCACACGTGCTCAATTGGGGATAAGTCGGGAGATCTTGGTGGCCATGGTAACAATGTGACATCATTATGTTGAAAGAAGTCTATTGTGACTCTTGCAACATGTGGTCGGGCATTATCTTGTTGGAAAGTTGGATCTGCCAGGGTGTCAAGATAGGGTAAAAGATGGGGTTCTAGAACTTTGTGGATATAACACTGCGCGTTCATGTTACCTCTGATGAAGATTAAAGGTGACCTGGAACCATAAGCTATAGCATCCCAAACCATAACTCCAACAGTGTGATGAACATGTCTTTCAACAAAAAACTGTGGATTCCTCCTTTCACCACGTCACCTTCTAACCCTGGCACGACCATCGTACATGCCTAAACAAAATCGAGCTTGTCACTAAAGACAATACTGTTCCATTCCTGATCCCAGAGTGACCGTTGTCTGCACCACTCAAGGCGATTACGTCGGTGTTCTCGAGTTAAAGGGAGGTCCCCGTGTGGCCGGTATGAAAACAAGCCAAAACTTCTCATTCGTCGGTAAACACTTCGCATGCCAATCGGCCTTCTCGAAGCCATGCCTGACAACACCTAACCACAGTGTCTACACTTCTTTGCACTCTAACTGCAATTGCCCGAAAAGAAAGTCCAGCTTCCCGAAGTCCCACTATACGGCCCCTATCAAACTCACTAAGTTGACGAAATCGTACAGGTCTCCGTACTCTAGGCATCGTAACCGATCGCAAAGGATGTCAAGAACCAAAATCCGCCAACGTTGATTCTTTACTGCGGCTGAAATATTCATTTTTAGAGCGTTAGTGAATTAAAAAAAAAGCAGTATAAAAACCGGAATGTCCAACTGATAAGGCTGAATTTTTTTTTTACTTGTTATTTACAGTAAGATAAATACATTCACCAACTTTTATTAAAATAAAACCATTTAAACTGGGTGTTTGGATTTATATGTCACTTAGTATATAAAAGCCTACAAAAAGGTAGTCGAAACGTCAATACAGTCTTTACGTATTTACTTGCTGAATTAAAGAAAATGGGGCAGTACCTGCCGAAAATTGGAACACCTCAAAAAATTAAAACAATACTATTTTATGAAAAAGTTTTTCTGCAAGTTGTTCTTATACTCTGCACTTCATTTACGTTATATATGCTGTCCAAAAAGTATGGATGCCCTAAAATATCTCAATAAATGCGTTTCCCAGAGAAAAATGCTGTAGAACAAAGTTTTGAGGTTCATTTCCCCTTCCAGTTATCTTGAAGGTCATATTCAAGATGATGGTCAAGTATATAATAGTGACCTTGACCGCAAAATGTTTATCTTCTTTATACCCCCAACAAAATTTAAGGAGATTATTTAGAAATTTATCCAATCTTCAAATGACCTTCAGGGTCATAGTCAAGGTCATGGACAAAAACATGTTTGAGCTCAAAATTTCCCGCTCTTTACATTTCTGGTGTCAAAAATATCCAGTCAAAACAACTGTATTGGCATTCAAATTACCTTGAAGGTCATAGGTAAGATCGTGGACATACTTGAACAAAAATGTTTCTGCTATTTACATTTTTGGAGCCAAAAATAGAGGTTTCTTAATAATAACACTATCTTGACCTTTGAATGACCTTGAAGGTCATGATCACGCTCAAGGTCACCACTCCTTGATCCTTTTCAAACCCTACAAGTTTGTTCTGGTACATTATGAAACGTATTTTTTCACACATTTTGTCCTTTACATACTTCTTGGGCGCCCTCAAATTCTCGTGAAGGTCATAGTCAAGGTCATGGATAAAGATTTACTTGAACGTAAAATTTCCCACTCTCCGGTGTCAAAAGTAGGGGTTTCCATTCAAGAAAACTATCTTGACATTCGAATGACCTTGAAGGCCACATTTAATGTCACGTTCAAGGTCGCCGTTAGATTATCGCTTGCAAAGGTATTTTGAAGTATCCGTGCTTTTTGTACATCCTTTATAAATGGACCATTTATTCCAGATCCCTTCGAGCTACAAAACAGGATAGATTCGCTGAAACCAGAAGAAAGATCCTACCTCCATGACCAGTTAGCAAGATTGGTCTCTTGCAAAGGAAAATCGTGCACTGTGGCTCACAGTAATCACATAAGGCCGAAACCAAGGATGAATTCGTTACCACTACACAATATTGGGCAGTATTATAGGAAGAGGAAATATCAAGACGAAGGTAAGTTCCATCATAGCAAAATTTGAAATACTGTTTTTGCAACGTTATATTCATACGCAATATAGGACGTATCAAATGACGTTAGTCTTACGTCTTGTGGACGTCAATTTGCGTGGCCCTTAGGACGTCATTTCAGGACGTGAACAAGACGTCATTTTGATACGGCTAAAAGACGTCAGTACGTAAAATAAATCAAAAAAGCATATTTTTTGGATCATCACAACGAGATTTCAAAGCATTGATGATCATTGGGTATAAAGTTTGTTTAGTTATGTAAGATGTATGGTATGCCAATATTTTTTCAACGACTGATTAATAACATTTTGCCAGCTGCCAGGAGTCTAGCGTTAGTACAAGAATATCCATATCGAACAGACTATTCTCTGAATACTAAGTAAGTAGAATGAGGATCATAGTCTGCAAGAATCTCACGTCTTCACCGCTACACTTCACTATTACTCACTTCACAATCTAATACACTGGATGATCTATCTGCTATAGCCTGTTCTATATCTCTCAGTTCTGCTCAACTTTCCTAACAGCTGATCGAAAAAAATTAATATCGACAAACTCAATCAACTTATCAACGATATCAGTTTTTTTCAGCAGCATAATCGACTCATAGCGAACAAGCAACCTGCAAGAAGTCTTTTAGGTTAGAATAATTCGTAGGAATGTACATAAGCAGAAATCCTGGATGAAATGAACGCTATTTGCCTGGAAAACAGCACTTCATATCTCATAAAAGCATTGTATGTTTCCATGCCATTTTTTTAAGAATAAATCCGTGTGCTTAATACATAAAAAATCTCAATCCCGAAACCCACTCTAATCAAATTCAAGGAACTACTTTTATTCGCAAACTACAGTGCTTTTTAGAACCACCGTAGCTTATGTGTGAGTTATTGGCAGTTTTTAAACATCTTTTTCTCTGAACAGATCGTGGCGCCGTCGCGCCCTCTGGCGGCCATCCTCGCAACCATACGGTCAAGCACGACACGAGAGGAAGAGACGCAAACATCAACTCCACCACAATCATGAGGCAACAGCAGGGGAGCCTAAACAAGCCTGGTAGTAAAAGGAGACGGAGAAAATCTTGAAGACGCTATCAAGAGTAGAACTCGTACGTGTGACTGATTTTTTATTTAGCCGTAAGGAAACGCGTGAAACGATTGTACGGATATGATATTGCCTCAATATAAATGGATCATCACCCGTCACCTCCGCCTACCACCCGCCACCTCGGAGTATAATCGCGGCCTTAGGCCTGTGACCTTGGAAATAGCTTTCTTGGCAAAAGGTATACACCTTTCGCATTCCATGTATCCATATAAGTATTAAATATGTCACTTCCAAGAGATTGATAGCATAATTGTTTTTAACCCGCATTTAGAATCTCAGAAATATACTGGTTCAAATGTTAACCTGATCTATAAACGAAAAAATCTCATCTTTGTAATAAACCATAAATATTAAGACTCCCCAAATTTTGATAAACCGCAGCCCCGTGCAGTCAAAAATGCATGATAATCATCCACCTCATAACAAAATGTGGTAAGTTATAATCAGCGCCTAATGATGTTGACCTTGTGGAACCATTTTGATTTGATACTACTTGCATTTGAAAACCAATACTCCTGTACTTATTCAATATGTCATGAAAGTAAAGTAAAATCTAGGATTACAAGCCCCCATGAAAATCAAAGATTACTTCCTAAAAAAATACGCATTCATTCAGCTCAAAAGCATCAATTTTAAATTACTTCAGATAAATATGAAACAGATTTTGAGGTGCTTGTAATGATAGATTGTACTACAACCCTCTACAGTACGAAAACTATTTCTTTAATAATAATAGCAGTTTTATTTGATGTAAATAATGTGATCTCTATTTTATATTTGCATTTTCTTTCCTAAAGCTTCGATGCTTTGTGTGTATTAGTGTATATAAAAATTTGGACACTCAGTATACTATACCCCTGTTTGTCCAAAATTTCTTAGAAACGGAAACAATCATAGACAATGTAGGTACCTGCGACACTTCCATTTTGAGATTAACTTTTGCTATTTTTGTAGAACCCAGGTATAGACAACGGTATTTTACTACTTTTTCACTGTTTCTTTAACACTTCATGTAGAGATAAGCAATGTTGTAATGGAAGCAATAATGACTTTATTTTTAAAGCGTGTTGTAAAAAATCGTTTGCCTATTTTAATTCTCTAGTCTCTAGCTTTCGGCATTGTATATATTTTGTCATTTGTAGAAAGTACATATTTAGATTATGTAAAATTTATAGTTTTAAGCAAAATGTATTATTTTTTATTTATGCTATTACTTGTAATTTAGTTATAGTGGATCGAGATTGTGAACTAATTTAAGAAAGATTTAGTGTTTTGTGTATTGTATTTATTCTGAAGAAAAGATGTAATTGAACATTTTTGGTGCCATGATTCGAAATTGTATCTTCTAAACAAGAATGTAATAATAAACAACTGTGTCAGCTTGTACCACATGTTTTAATTTTAACCTCCCATCCTTAAAATAAGCCCAAAATACTCTTTTTGAACTTTCGATATTTGGCAACCTCAAAAACGATCATGTTTTACAGTTTTTTAAGCAACTCAAATGTCTATATTAAAGGTTTTTCAAACACTGAATCGCTAAAAATTCGAAAACGATCAACGTTATAGAAAAGTTATCAAGAATCATGTTTGGGCTTGAGTCGGGCTTTAACGAATTTTTATTACTAGGAGGAAGGTTTTAAAAACTGTTGAATCATGCTTGTGGAGCTTTAAGAAACGATTGAGGTGGGGATGATCCAGTGTTACCAACACTTGAGTTGCAAATGTTCCGTGCGAGGTTGCCAAAACCTCCGAAATGTTCCGATTTTTCATGCACAAATGACGTCACATGAAATTTTTGCATCCTACCACCATGGGCGTAGACAGCAGTACCGCTGTACCCAAAGTTTCTTGAAAATTTCGAAAATAAACTATTCTTTCTTGAAAGCTCCTCCAAAATTTAGGTTCCGAAAAAGTTCCTCTACGATGCAAAAAGTTCAGCAAATCGGCAACACTGGGACGTTGTCGAAATTTGCAGTTTTTCTAATTTCTTTGACTTGATAAATTCTTTTGACTATAACCACAAAACATCTACAATGCTATTTTAGTGCCATATTTGATGTTCTGTGATTGACATTAAGCATTTTTTCGCGAGTCCACGGTGTAACACAGTGCACTACCGGGAACCGATAATCAAATTTTCGCGAAGAACGTGGATAGGGGAAGACGGATGTGACGTCATCCAAATGTCAAAAAATCACGTGGTACGGGTAATCGCCTAACGTCTGTGAGGTATTAGCGGGTGACAGGTGTTATGTCAATGTCATTTAAAAAAGAGACATGTCAATTGGAAATTTTTCTTCGCAGTGCCGAAAAATGAGTTAAACTATTAAATCATAAATGGAGAAAGAGGTCCACCTGATTTTAAATGACGAAGGAGACGGTCATCAAAGATATAGGAAACGCATTTATCATATCAAATGCGTGATTTTTATTGATATATATGTACATTGCACAAAAAGCGATCGGTATTTTTAATTCAGAGGCCCGAGTAAAGATAACATGGACTCGCAAGACAACTATTGAAATGTACTCTACTAGACTATCCGTAGCTAAATTTTTCTCGAAATCTATGCCCATGACTTGAAAATATGCAAATGAAGATTGGGAAACTGCCGCATTGACGTTTTCGTTACTCCGAGATAGACATAACGTTTTGAAAATTGATCTTGTCATCTGGATTGCGGTGTTGCCAGCTCATTGGACGATTTTGCTACCTCTGCTATCACCAATTCCTTGGACCTTCTGTTGGAAGCCTTGCTAATAGCTTTGAGATTTTTCAGAAATGAATGTAAGTACGTAGAAAATGCTGCTATTAGATACAGTGTAGCACTTTTTTTAAAACACCATCATGTAGTGCCTAAATGGTGCCATTAGTTTTTTGACATTTCTTAAAATAAAGTCAGACAAAAATAAAAACGATTTGGCCAAATTTCAGTTTTTCCCAGATACCTCAGTATATAACTAATTTCTCAGTGCATGCAATTTATTTGAAAAAACATAGGATGTCAACCCTTACACGCAAGTAGCTGAGTATGCAAGGCTCACGTAGTTTCCTGCACAGATATCCTGTTTCCCTCAGAAGAGTTGAAAGTAGACCTAATGTCCACTTTGGAGACACTTGACACCCACGTCACGACACGAAAACACCAAGGCACCACTGAGAGACAATCGAGAACCCTATAGTGAACATCATTACTGAAAAAAGTAGCTAAACCGAATAGGGCTCTGTACGGACCTGTGAACGCGTAGACATTCCGCTGCGTCGACGGTTGCCGAGAGACTAAAGCGAGTGCTGGAGCTCGTTGCGGTGATACGGTACGGCCGGGTAGTACAGCCACGCCCCTTTCCAGCTCCCACTCCGCGCGTCTGCTTCCGAAGCGACTCGATGTTTACGTTGACCGGTAACACTCACACGCTTCAGTCTCTCGGCAACCGACGGCGCAGCGGAATGTCTAGGCGTTCACAGCTCCGTGCAGAGCCCTATTCGGTTTAGCTACTTTTTTCAGTAGTGGTGTTCACTATAATAGGGTTCTCGATTGTCTCTCAGTATTGCGTTGGAGTTTTAGTGTTGTGACGTGGGTGTCAAGTGTCTCCAAAGTGGAAATTAGGTCTACCTCCAACTCTTCTAAGGGAAATAGGATATCTGCGCCAGGTGAGCCTTGCATATTCATCTAGTTGTGTGTTAGGGTTGACATCCTATGTTTTTTTAATAAATTACCCCAATTGCATACACTGAGAGATTAGTCATATACTGAAAAAAAAGAGAAATTTTTTTTTATTCAAAAAGTCTAAACAAATTTACGCCGGAGGGTTACCGCCGGACAAAACGTCAAGTCGGGAAATTTGTCCAATAAAAGCCAGGGTTTTGCTTCGTGAGGTAAGGGAATCAGTCATTCTTTTTTATTTGAACGAGGTTCATGTACTTACTGCATTATGTAGAATGAATAAGACAGCAATCAAATGTATGAAACTGTTTATATTAAACCACTATATTTTTTGAAAACCTTTTGAAAGAGAGCCTGAAAACAATGTAACAAATTCGTCGATAACATCCTAAAATGACTGTATCAACACCAGTACAAAGATAAAAACCCTAGCCTCCCTATTAGGCTAAGGGCTTGTCATTTGGAGTTAATCGGCGCTTGTTTTTTTATCCTCGTCAGAATATTTTGTCCACTTTGAGTCACTTATTTTAAAATGCCACCTTATCACTATTAGTTCCTTTAGTACCAGGTTCTTCAATTGGGGTATTTTTTGTTTCCGACCCCAATGCAATAGCTAATTCTTCTGTATGTTTAATATATTTTTCATTCAACTCCTGCACTATAACTCTACATTCTTTGGCCGATTCACTCTTCATGAATATCTGTGAATAATTATTGGTATTCTACCATTTAGTAAATATTGCATGCGATCTTACCTTCACGATGGACTGTTTGGCGTTGCACAGCTTGCATCTCCACTTGGAGGACTTTTTCACTATGTGCACCTAACATTACAAAAGTAAAGATAATCCTGAATATGTATGTTAACAGTTGAAATATGTATGTTAACAGTTGAAATATGTACAAACCTGGTACACTTTGCAGCTGAAGCACTGCAAAACGATGAATTCTTGCATTATACTAACACAAGCAATTTCCGAATTAGCTGTTTTTCCACTTAAAACCACAAGACCGAGAAAAACTACAAAATTCAAAACCGAAATGCTCAAAAAGATTGCTAGAGCCGCTCGCGTTACTGTTCATGGTTGCCAACAAATCGGCCAAAAATCCCCAGATACAGCGTTGCCGGATGGTTCGGACAGAATTCCCCAGACAGGTACAAAAATCTCTCTCGCTACTTATTCGAAAAAATCGCACTGTTAACAGGTGAAGGGTAGGTTTGATTCGATGAGTCCCCGTTCTTGAAAACAGAAGTTATTCGTAAAACCTGTTGTCACCTACCGTTTAGGGCCTCACGCGGGATTTATCAAAAGGGAATTGTCAATTTAAAACTTTTTCATAAAATAAATACCCTGTGAACGCCGCATTAAGGTAGTTGTTTTTTTGCACCGCGGTTGAGCATGAACACAAAAAACGAGCAAATCAGTGCAATATCGAGGAGAAGACGAGTCTCTTTCTCCCAAAGCACGTATGAGACAAAGATGGATCAACCGGCTGGTTTACATCTTACTATTCTGTTAGAGCCGTTTTACACTCCGAAAATTATGGTCATAATTATGCCGAAAATTTTGGCTGTTGTATTACACGTAAAAGAATTCTTGTGAAATTTTTTATGGTAAAAATATAAAACCCGTTCTATAGAATATGAGCGAGAATCGGCGCAGAGGGTTATTTCCGTGCATGTCAATATCAAATGTCAACATAACCTCACTTAACATTTGTGGGTGTGGTCCTGTTCGAGTCGTACGAAGAAGCGTTTATTGTTATTGTTTATTCATACATTCATAATCTCGTGGAATCGGGAAGAAGTTACACTGTTGTTGGAGGAGTACCAAAAATGGTCAAACCTGTACAAGGTGAAGTCACCCAATTAGAAAAACAGAAATTTGCGGCGTCAGGCGTTGGGTGCGATAGTCCAAGCATTGAGAAATAAATTTAAATCAACGACGACTGTTGTCTTTCCGATTATATTGGACGTCATACCGGTTAAGGTTATGTCCATTCGAAAATATTACTCTAATGCGCAGGCGTATCATATGAATTACTCCGAAATTTTGTTTGCTTGTGTCATACAGGTTGTAGAGAAAATCTTCAATATTTTTTCCATGCAAATTTTCGGCATAATTATGACCATAATTTTCGGAGTAATTCTCTTGTGTGTAAAACGGCTCTTATTCTTGTTCTATCACTATGGATACAGGCCTACCAACTTACATTTAATAGTATAGGTGTTTTGTTAAGATAGGTGCAACCCATGAGGAAAGAAAAAGCAACAAGCAAGATAAAATATTATTCAGAAGTCCGTGCTCAAAAATGGAATAAAATACCCCAAAAAATACCAAAAGAGTTTACTTTTCCCCAAAAAAATCCTGCAGAAGATTATCCTCCAGATAATTTCCAAGGAAAGTAAAAATCTTCTAAATTTAGGTGAAAATATATCAATATGGCAACACTCAGGCGATACAGATACGAGGGTGGTCGCAATAGTATTATTTCTATTTTACTCCATGTTTGAACATAGCGTTTAATTATACAGGTAATATGAAGTCGAAATTTGGGGTCGATGGACAAATAATAATATAATTCTGGAATTAAGATCCCATATTTTGGCATTTTCGTTGGATTGTGCATCTCTTTTGTGGACCTCTGGATCATTTTCTCCAAAATTTGGCCACCGGCAACTAATTTTGACTTCAGATTCGTGTACAGCATGAAAAAGAACATGGAAAAAATATAATCGGACTATAGTTTATAAAATCTTTTAGCTATTCTTCTCTATGAGAGTCCTAACTCTAGCAATAATATGCGTAATACGGAAATGCAATACCACAAATCTTCAAAATAATCTATTTGATTTTCGTATGAATATATTTTGATGCATTTCACAAATTAGAAGATGTACGTGCTGAACTCTGAGGACCGTCTTCAGTTGAACTCTGCAATTTCAACATTAAATTTCCGAACCTCGACACCATCATGGAATCATCAATATCGTATACGAACGAGTCTTTCGGCACTTCGGGAATCATTTTGTTCAACCAATGAATCGATACATGTTGTAGTATGAATGCCATTACCATCGTTAGTAGGATTGCCCATAGAAGCTTAGACTCTACGGCTGAAAATCAATCAACAGTTATTACATAGTTATTGATATTTTTTAAAAGACTGCAAACGTCATTTCTTTGCCTTTATCGATGCACTTAAACAAAGGAATGGTCGTACGTGCCAGCTCTCAATGCTCAGATCAACGAATTCGAGGACAAACATATAGAACTCCATGTTTTATTAGCCAAAATGGAACCACATCATCATCACCATGATGACATTTTTCAAAGTATAGATCAATGACAACGACAATATATTCCATATTTATCTGTCTTCCAGTTGTTCGCTGTTTTTCTGCTAGTATACAGGGTGTCCCAGAAGTCGACGTCAAGCCGGAAATGGGGTATAGGACAAGACATAATAGTTAACAGAGGAATCTAAAAAATCTAAGTCGTGTACTTTTCAAATTATAGTATAAAGTCGATTTTTTAAAGGTCTACAATTTCAAAAGTTCTTAGTATATTTCTGATAACTATTATGACTTTGCTTATTCCCCGTTTCTGGCTTGACGTCCACTTCTTGGAAAACTTACTTCTGCATATAATGCTATCCTCATCGAATTTCAGTTCTACTCCACAATTAGGGTTGCCATCACACTCCAACTCCTTACTTAAACATACAGTTTTGTTACTTAAAGTAAAACCGAGTGTATGATCACCACATTCTGAACCACTGTTAACAAGTTCCACAGCAGTTGCGATCACTTTTAAGCTTCTATCATGCCTGTCTCTCAAGTTTACTATTAGAGATATGTTTCTTGAGAATTCTGGATACCTGTAGAGTATTGTGCTTTCCCATGATTGTTTGCTTACATCTATGATGTCGTTATCTTGCTACTAAAAAGCGTTAAAGTCATAATTGAGATTTAAGAAACCTTAAAAAATTAGGATCGTTCCATTTCCTCTGAAGAAGCTTGCCACTCGTGCTAGCGAAACGTTAGGAAGAAATTCCAACCGACAACGGCCTTTAGACCCGAATCAAGACAGCAGTTTAAACTTTGGATAACTTGAGAAGCTATGAGCAATTTTGGAAATGTTACTTCAGTCTAAAGCATTTTAAAATGCTCACCACAAATAGTTCTCCTTCCACCAAAGATCCTTCAAACAAGTCTATCACAAGTATTATTCCTATATTGTTCGCAGGGTATGTATAGAATTTAATTTTGCATTGAGGCAAAACAGATTTTGTAGATATAAACAAAACGATACTTTCCATTTTTCGTACACCAAGAGGTAAGTAGATTGTACGTGTGAAGTTGTTTACACATGTGAAACGCATATCTGCAAATGAAAATACGTTATCATCATCTTGAAGGTGCCGAGATTTGATGGGCGTACCTACGATTCCTTTGTCGCTCAAAAATTTGTTTGAACTTGTGCTTCGTCCCAATATGAATATAATAAATAGTACCATAAGTGTTGACATCTACTTCGCTGGTGAATTTGTGACATTTTATGATTTGTCAAAATTGACACTGACGCGTTACAAACATACAGAACGTTTTATCAGTGTAAAAAATCGAGTCTAGTACCAAACCAAAAGATTACCGCGCAGTTTCGCTATTTGCCGTTGTCTTTCAAGGCCACCGAATTCGAATAGATTGGATTTACAATGCATTATCAACTGTGAATTCCTGCATGTAGAGTGCTGTCATAAGCAAAGCTGTGGATAGGATCGATCGTACAGGAAAGGAGGTCTTTGGTATGTAAGAGAAACAATGTCCAAGCCAAGAATGATCCCTGCGGAATACCCGCGCTGACATTATGGGATAAAAAGAAGAATCCGTCAATTTTACGTCTGATATCTTGCGGCAAGAGAGGACGTGAAGATCTTCAGAATACGTCAATCCTTGGTATCAGTGAAAGACGTGCTATTATTAAAAGAAGCTTCTGATCCAGGAAACTTATTATTCACCAATAGTTCATGCAGCGTGTGAAGGATTCGAATTTCTTTTCTATAGTCTTAGTTGTAAAGGCTTAAGATATACTGTACCTGAGCTAACATACCTAGTTAAGTCTTCTTAACCCATTTCTTTTTCTTCTTAATTTCAAACTTACATAAAAAAGAGGTGGCGTAAGAAAAATGGAGTCAATCTACTTGACGTCATTGTTTTTAATAACTGTTGTAAGGGGTAAGGAATAACCAAATTATAGTTTTGACGTTTATTTCACAACACAAATCGTAGTACAGAGGAAACATTACGTTTTGCTCTCCCCGGTATGTTTGTTTATAATGATTCTCCATTTCGGTCCAGCGCCAGTGCTGACGCTTTTGTCTACATTTACCTCCTCAGAAGTCTCGGTGGCGGTTGTCACAACGTTGTGACCTTTGCCTGGTTGCTGCAATAACGAATCACTTTCTTCGATCACTTTGTTATCGTAAACTTTCGGCTTAGTCAAATCTAGAACAAATCTCTTCTGATAAAGGGTATCCCAAAATTCACCCAACACTTGCATCAAGTAGAGAAAGCAATTTCTTAATTGCAATTTACTGAATCATAAAGTATAGAAAGAAATAGCCACCAGATTTGACACCCATTGACTCTTTCTGTGTGGTATCCCAAGAGCAGAATTTGAATACTAAGTGACATATAAATCCGAACACCCAGCTTAAATGGTTTTATTTTAATAAAAGTTGGTGAATGTATTTATCTTACTGTAAATAACAAGTGAAAAATTTTTCAGCCTTATCAGTTGGACATTCCGGTTTTTATACCGCTTTTTTTTTAATTCACTAACGCTCTAAAAATGAATATTTCAGCCGCAGTAAAGAATCAACGTTGGCGGATTTTGGTTCTTGACATCCTTTACGATCGGTTACGATGCCTAGAGTACGGAGACCTGTACGATTTCGTCAACTTAGTGAGTTTGATAGGGGCCGTATAGTGGGACTTCGGGAAGCTGGACTTTCCTTTCGGGCAATTGCAGTTAGAGTGCAAAGAAGTGTATACACTGTGGTTAGGTGTTGTCAGGCATGGCTTGGAGAAGGCCGTACGCAAAGAGCAAGGGGCACTGGACGCCGCCGTAGAACAACAGGCCGTGAAGATCGCCGCCTAAGATTATTGGCCTTAAGGGACCGCTTCTCTACTACCAGGTCCATTGCAAATGAATGGTTCGCAGAACACGGAAGACCTATTGGCATGCGAAGTGTTTACCGACGAATGAGAAGTTTTGGCTTGTTTTCATACCGGCCACACTGGGTCCTCCCTTTAACTCGAGAACACCGACGTAATCGCCTTGAGTGGTGCAGACTACGGTCACTCTGGGATCAGGAATGGAACAGTATTGTCTTTAGTGACGAGTCTCGATTTTGTTTAGGCATGCACGATGGTCGTGTCAGGGTTAGAAGGCGACGTGGTGAAAGGAGGAATCCACAGTTTTTTGTTGAAAGACATGTTCATCACACTGTTGGAGTTATGGTTTGGGGTGCTATAGCTTATGGTTCCAGGTAACCTTTAATCTTCATCAGAGGTAACATGAACGCGCAGCGTTATATCCACGAAGTTCTAGAACCCCATCTTTTACCCTATCTTGTCACCCTGGCAGATCCAACTTTCCAACAAGATAATGCCCGACCACATGTTGCAAGAGTCACAATAGACTTCTTTCAACATAATGATGTCACATTGTTACCATGGCCACCAAGATCTCCCGTGTGGGATATGATGGGTAGGAGATTGCTCAATTTGCGACGTCCTCCTCAGACTCTAGAAGCACTTCGAGAGGAGTTGGTGGTTGCCTGGAATGAGATACCACAGGAGGACATTGACCACCTGATCAGAAGCATGCCTTGGCGCTTTGGAGAATGCGTAGCACATCAGGGTGCATCCACACATTATTAAAGGTCAAAGGGCTTTAAAGCAGTGCAATCATTTTGAAATTTTTATCATTTACTTATTACGCTTCATTAAGTACTTATACAAAATTTTATTAAAATAAAACCATTTAAACTGGGTGTTCGGATTTATATGTCACTTAGTATATTAATACTCTGGCTTGAAAGAAAATATCCGTCGTTAAACAAAATTGAACCTACTTTGCTTTAATATACTATGCAAAATATGATTAAGAAGTTCCATAAGTAGTACATACAATCTAATCTAAATCCTAAATCTTCCCTATACACGGTGTCCCACTTTAATATCCTCACCTAAATATTCCGAAAACAACAACAAATGACAAAATGATGTTAACCTTGACAATGACCTTGAAAATTCCCTTCAGGGCCATTTCAAGGTCAAATCAAGACATTGAATATAATTTGCTCAAGCAAAAATGTTCGACAACACAAAGGTGACTCCAAGGTCAACGATGTGTTTGACCTTTACAGTCAAGTCAAAATTTCCAGGACACCTCCCATTTTTATACTCGAAATTGAAAAGCAGGAAATACCTCAAAAAACACTCACGTTAGACACGAACTTGGCCTCGAGGTCAAGGTCACGTTGGTTCGTAACTTTCCCGGTTTTTTGCATTTCCAGTATAAAAATAAGCTTCCCCTGGAAATTATAACTTGACCTTGAAGGTCAAGGTCAAAGTCATGGTTGAGCTTGAGGTCACCTTTGGATGATCCGCTAAATCCCACAACTGTGCTGTCGAACATTTTTGCTGGAGCAAATTGTTTGTGATGTCTTGATTTAACCTTGAAATGAGTCTGGAGTCAATGGGCAAGGTCATTACCTAGGTTATGTTCGGGCGTAAAATTTGCTCCACTTTTCAATTCCGATGTGACAAATATTCACTTGACCTTGAAGGTCATAGTCAATGTCATTGTCAAGGTCACCATTATTTTGCTCCCACAAAACCCTACAGCTTTTGTTTGAAACTTTTTGCTGGAATGCGCAGTTTTCGAAATATTTAGATGGGGATATTAAAATGGGGCACCTTGTATAAACCGCATTTTAACCATATCCAGGTATATAAATAATTGTTATGGGATCTGGACCTCGGACGCAAATTTCAAATCCACTTTTTCATATCTCCACCTAAAATTTTCTACTTACAATTTTTGAACTTCTTCACTGTTATATCCGACACATTGCTATCCGTGATCTCGGAAGAACCTACAAATTATCTGAATAGATTTTTTTCTAAAACAAATTTGTCTCAGCGTACTACAAATCGTATCATCAAAACTCGTAGTAGAATCACTCCTCAGAACCGTTCTACGATTCCTTGCTCTTCTTACTTTATGACTTGTTGGAAGTTGAGCATTCTTCAACGCTACTATCGTTTCTTTTATGTCATATGGGATCGCGCCATCTGCCCCGCGTGGGTCTGTCTTGTGGACTTCTGGTGAGATCTTGCTAGAAAAAATTGAAGTTGTTGATATTTTCACTTATGTAAGTGATTTCGAAAACATTATTTCCGGCATTACAGCACGAGCGTCAAAGATTCGAGATGCTTAAGTGGGAGTCAAGGATATTGACTCTATACTTCCTACGCCAGAGATTAATCAATGCTATAAGATATTCTTCTGTAGGCAGTTTCTAAATACTTTCCAACGACAGTACCTTTACATCATTTTCAACCGGATAGACCTGCGCAACCGTTTTCTTCTGTCTTGGACTTTCTAGCAATATTGCATCAGTAAAATTCTGCATCGTAGACGCAGGTGGTTTCACTACAGGCATCTCTATAGGTTTCTCATTAGTCCTCTCTATAGGTTTCTCTTTAGTCCTTTTTATGGGTCTGACTAGATGTCTCTCTATGGGCGCGTTGAATTTGTAAGGAGTATAGTCGGTCCAAGTCGGATTCAGTGCCTTCATCAGCTTTTCATTGGGAGGGGTCATTAGACTGGGTTGTTCCTCGATCACAGGGCCACACTCCACCTATAATTTCAGTGATACAATTTCTGAATGTATTCTTTTTCATTTTCCGTGGCTTCAAGCTAACGAAACTTGGTGTAGTTTACGACACACTTATAGTGTATGTTTACATTTTTTTGTTTCTTTAAGGTATCGACATGCATATGTTCATTATATGATGCAGGACTACGTGCCGTATCGTCAGTCGTTCCTACAATTGTCAGACGCCTTTATGACCTCCTTGGTTTTTAAATTATCTTCTCTCCTTTGGAAAGGCTAAGGTATTTCTAGATTTCTAATTTCTACTGTTCCGAGTCAGCACTCTCTTATTGTGAGGCTATGATTTCTTTTCGATTTGTAAGAAATTTCAGGCTGATGCAACCGATGATATAAATCAAAAGTATGAACAATGTGATGCAAATAGATATTTGTAACATAACCTCAAAATAGAGCGCTGACACGGAACAGTAGAAAACTATGAAAATCAAGGAGGCCATAAAGGCGCCCTACAATAGTATGAAGGACTGACGATACGGCCCTAAATAATGTAAATGGCGCTAATACATATTGAATGAATATAACATAAATCGCATTATTTCGATACGGGCATAGCAACAAATTCACATAATTTGTCTATGCTATAAATGGATCGATGTACGAGCGGTAATCGAGATATATTCAGTTCTATGTAGGCGATCTAGGTTGGTTAATGTCTTTTACATATACCTGCGTTCAAGGCTGTGATGAGCAAAACTTCGTCGGAGTCGTGGAATCGATTTTGAGGTAGAAAAAAGTCGCTTTCTGAGCCTGACTCTTTTTGGTAGTTAAAAATTAGTAGATGTGGCTTCAATCACGGACTAGTAAAAACCTTGATAGGTAAATGTGCCTAACCAAAGTACAACAGAAATCATTCGCATCCAACTCCGACCAAAAAAATAAGGTAACACACTCTACAGCATATCGAGCTTTGGCCAAAATCGTCATTTCGCGATCCGACCAGACAAACCTTGGTTTGCTTCACAACTTTACCTCAGGCAAGGATCTCCTCTCGACGCTTGTCCCAAAGTTTCTTACAGGCACCCTCTCCGTCTGTCCGTACTTCGACTTGGACTTCTTGGCGGACAAGGCCGAGTCTAGCAGCACTTTCGGAGCCCTCCGAATCGCCAGGTTCTCGATGACGTATTCGTATTCGGTGAATTCCCGACCAAAACTGTCGCACATCACTTCATCGCAGCTGAATGTTTGCTTGCCGATGCAGGGGAAACATAACTTCACAAATAAAACATTTAAATAGTGTTATGTTCGTTGAAAAAGCCACCAATAGGGTAGCTACATTACCATTTATTAATAACGATTGGTGTACTCGTTAAGAAACTGAGATACTGATACTTTTTATCAATGATCAATGCAGTTAGTCCATTTCAATCGCAGGATTTTGCTTGATTCACCAAAATTTGCCTTTGCATCCCCCCTGGATATTTGGTTTTCGATATTTTATGCCATATGCGCGTAAAAAGTGAAGATTATCGAAAATGGTTTTCTAGGTTCTGTTATTTTCGAGTTGTCAGTCTGATAACAAAAAGGAAACCTTAATATCAAAATAGGAAATTCAAATAAGATCTTATTTTGCTGCTTCCTGAGGTGCTTTCCAGTGCCTGGTTTGTGTTACTCGGAGTAACCCACCAAATGTCAATACCGTTTCAGTGCTCTAGTGCAGTGTTGCCAGAGCGAAGTTTAAAATATCCGTCACACGTATCGCAAAATTCCGCTACATGCCGCTACGGTCTAAAAATTTAAGGGGGGGGGAGGCTTTAAATAAACAACAAATATATGCTTTACATATTTACTTTTTTTTAAACACTGTCTAAAAGCCCTACTAAAAATACAAACAGTAACATAACATAATTGCAATTTTTCGTAAAAACATAAAAAGTATACCTCTAAAAAAACAAAACTGTCTTTGGTTTAGAATTAGGAACTAATAAAAAATAGAAAATATCACCAATATCTTAATCTTAATAGAAAAAAAAACAAAAAATAAGGACAAAGAAGAAGCGGAAACGTGGAAATGCCTACGTTTGCTTATTTTATTCACAGTCAGAATCAGAAATTACTTCTTCTTCAGCTTGTTCTTCCTTATTTACATTATATAAATTCTTTTTATATTTGTTTGAATGATTCTCATTAAAACTATAGGATAAACAGCACTGTTTTTTTGATTCCAAGTCTAATTTAATTGTAAGTAGTGCAGACAAAGTTGATGGTATTATTTTATTTCTTTTTTTTGTTTTGTAATCAAGCATATAAGAAAAAGTTCGTTCAACATCAGCGTTTCCATGAGGCAATGTTAAAATGATTAGAGCCAGTTTACCTATATTGCGAAATAAATATTCGTCATTAAAATTTTTGAGGTCGTTTACAAACGACCAAAATTCAATGACATTACTTTTTGTTTTTAAAATTTCCTCTTTCTCACTATCACTAAAATAAATACATATTTTCTTTAGTTCCAAAATTGCCTTTTCGGTTTCAACATGAAGGGCAATTTTTTTTAAAACGGCGTCATGAAAGGTATCACTTATAATAAGACGATTGTTCATCACATCAACCGGTGAGAGAAACTTTAGCTCTGAAAAGAAGTTGTCTTTGATAGGAAATCTTTTAAGGGACTCTTCTACCGATTTTTGGTAAAATGTGACGCATTTTAATTTAAATTGTTCGATTGACGTGTTATTGCAGTGTTTTATTGCATCCATTGTATGCGGACCAACATTCACTTGTTCAATTGGTAATAAGCAGTGGGGATCATTAGGATTTAGATTATATAATTTCTCATTTTTAAAATATTCTGGTCGCATAAAGTTTGTACATAGATGACGTACAAATCGCTCACTCTCTATTGATATGATATTGAGCATAACTTTCTCTGATTGGAAGAGAGCATTAAATTGGTTAAAAATGGGCAACACGAATTTAAAAAACATTAAATACGTCTTAACAAATGGATTCTGTAACTCATTAAGTATTACATTTGCTACAGGATTTTTGTCTTCACTGGAAGCTAATCTAAATAGGCTAAGCAAGATGTCCCACTAATCCAAAACTCTATCAACACATTTGGATAAAGCAAGCCACCTTGTTTTACTAGGGCTTAAAATTTTTAATTTTGACTTTTTGTAATATTCCTGTAATTCTTCAAGAACACACTGCCTTTTTAGGCTTCTTGAGAAGTAAGAATATAAGTTTTGTAAAAGAGCTTCAACGTTGCTTGTAATCTTTTCAGCTGCCGCTACCGCCACTAAATGAGCAGAGTGGTAAATGCAGCTATTGACAATTATATTAGGATTATCTTTTAAAAGATAAGTTTTGAAAGATTCGTTATTGCTCATCATAACACTAGCGTTGTCGGAACAGTATCCAACAATATTGGTAATTTTTACTTGATTGGATATAACGCATTTTTTAAAAAGAGAATATAAACCTTTGGCGGTACCTTCATCTGCGTTTATTTTAATTATATCTAATAAATGGGTTTTAATTGAATTTTTATGAATATACCTTACAAGAATGCATAGTAGTCTTGTATTGCTCAGGTCTGTACTCTCATCCAATAAAATAGAAAATGGTTTATTTTCCAATTCTGAAATTATTTCGTCTTTAATAACAGGAGCCAGCACATTTTTAATTATACTTATGCATTTGGATCTTTTTAATCTAAGTGAGCTAGAGAGATCTGGGTCTTCAATAATAATTGACTAACTCCTGTTATATGATCAGTTCTAAAACTTATATAATGACTTACAACTAAAAGACTATATCTTAAGCAAGCAAATATTTGCCGTTTTTCCAACTCACGTGCTTCCCGAGACTGAAAAGTGCTATCTAACGTTCTTATATTCGAAATTGCTTGTACATTAGTGGCATGCCTTTTTGATTTCGAATGATTCACTAAATCTGATTTTTTAGCACCCATTATTTGATTACAAGCTTTACATTTTGCTTTCAACTTGTCATTTTCAATAGGTCCCAACCAACCTTTAAATAACGGATCTTCTAGCCATGATGAAGTAAACATTTGTTTTCGTGTCTTTTTCTTAACAGGTTGCTCTGGCTCTTGGTTATCCTGAGATTCGCAAGTCAAATTATCAGGCTCAGACCTGATTCCACTAGATTCCGCTCTTCTATTTTGTCTGTATTCAGGTTCGGGATGCTCCGAGTCCGACACAGATGCAGTCGAAGTGGATGGTACGGCCACGTTTGGTTTCACCGTTTGTTTTTTAGAAGGATTTTTACAAAAAAAAACGTTAATGGTCTGCTGTCGCCTTTCCATTATTCCTATTTTCCAGAAGAAAAAGCGTTAAAAACAAATTTCTCGACTAAGATTTATTTCTGGATCAAACTATAATATATTAGATATTTAAGCAGTTTTGTTACTTACCAGTAGATTTAATATCAAAAATCTGCAGCAAATGATATATCAATAAAATGATCAACACAAAAATAAGAACACTAATATAAACGAAACTAAACACTATATACCCAGAGCTGAAAAATACAATACAAAGCGAGAAACCTAATATTATGTCTGCCTGCTGAGACCTGTTAGAAACGATTAGTATTGAAAGCAGTACGTACGCCATCTGTTATTGAAAAAAAAGGCAAGTGGAATAATTCTCTTCTCTGTTCCTAGATGGCTCAAGCGGCACCAAATGCACCAATTTTATTATTAATGTGATAATAAATCAGACTCTAGCCACTGCCTATTTAGGATTTAGAACGTTATTAACGTTAAAACAGTGAAATAAATATGATAGTTTTGTATGTAATAAATTCCGCTACATTTTGAGCTAATTTGCTCTACCGCCGCTACGCCGCTCTTCTCAAAATAATCCGCTACAAATAGCGGAATTCCGCTACGTATGGCAACACTGCTCTAGTGTCATGCACCTGAGCTACTTAATTTTAAATCCCCTGCCCCACCATGCACCAGCTTTTTATTCGGTGTTATACGCTCCGAAATAGTGGGGATGACGAAAATGACAATGTGTCAAGATTGTTAGATTATGTATCTTCATTGTTTTTGTTTTTTTGCATTAAACTCACATTAAACCGATATCAGACAATGGAGGATGGTAAAAGACTGATAATGTTATGACCCAGAGTCACAACGTACATTTGAGATTTTCCTGAATAATAAAGATCTCAAGAAAGTGCAAGAATGCATGTTCATCTGAAGTTATATTGTTGCTGCTTAAATGCCTTGAACTCCGATTGCAAGTATATTCAATGGACTGCCTTACAACTGCAGTGATAGTTACAAAACAGAAGATCAAAGTAAAAGATGAGATGTGCATATCCTTTTGGTGATGTATGATTTCTCGCGATTTATCTCTATCAGCGGCAGTTTTTTTAATTCTTCAGTATGCAGAAAAGCTCCTTCCAGAATTTTATAATTTCAGTAAACTCAAAACATACCTGAAATATACTGCGTTTATTTTCTTTCTTCTTAGATTTCTTGTCTGGCATGGGAAAAAACAGAGATGACAAATAAAAAGTCAAAGAAAAGGTTAATTTATGTTTATTTTGAAGTGTATATACAGAGTGTGAAAAATATAGAACAATAACCAAAATAACAAAACTTAAATAATAAAGGAAGAATATCTTCTAGGATACAAAACATGTTCAACATTTTTACAATCCATACTTGACAAATGACTCAAAGTACAATAAAAAATCAGATCACTGTTGATCGGACACGGTACTAATTTTTATAACTTGAAGTGAAACATCTTTCAAAATTTTGATTCAAAAACTGACAGAAATATCCAGAAAGAAATTGATATTGTGCATTTCAGTCTTAATTTGGTTTCACTGCGTCAAAATGTAAATAAGTTAGTATTCGCCCACAGTTTAACAGAACTTTTCATTTTCTTTTGGTATGTGCATCTGAAATAAAAAGAAAAAATATATTCATATTGGATCGTTAACTTGGATGGGCAATAATACTGTTTCTAAGGTCCAACCATGTAAGGCGTCGTTTTATGCTTATTAGTCATCGTCAGCATGGTTCAGGTGAGTCCGGGAAAGCAGCGCAAAATAACGTCTATATGAGATCAAAGGCTGACCAGCAAGTGACATATTTGTTTTAAAGTCTGTGGTGTTGTCAATAATACAATAATCGGAAGCGAATCGGCACGGGTATCACGTATCTTAAAAAGTGACATTATGCCGATTTTTTTTTGACATTATGCTGGTTTTTCTTGACATTAGTTGTACGTGTTGCCTAAACGCCATGAGACTTCTTATCAATCTTTGGCATGTAGACTAATACACATAATCATCCTGATGCGATCTTGCTATTCAACCAACTTTCTTCTCAGAGATAAAAACTACAGACAAGGACCATTTGAACGTAGATTCGTCTGTCACCAATATGCACTTCAAAAAGTCCGGATTATTGTCATGTTGATGCTACAACCACTCGCAAAACCGCACTCTTGCAGGAAAATCGTCAGGTTGAAGGGCTTGTACACGTTGGACGTGAAACGGATACAGCCCCTCTTCACGCAGCGTTTGCCACACTTTAGTTTTTGATACTTGCACTTCTCTAGCCACGTCTCTAGTGCTTGTTGTTTTTTTAAACGCAATCGATTATACGAGTTCGTTTACCTCTACACGCGTGACCGTAACCGTCGGTTGAAGGTTGCAGACTGACCTGACACACTGACCCCGACCCCCGACCCAGTTCTGTCGTCGGGTTGAGCTATTGTCCTAGTACCAGTTGGGGATGTCGCGAGTCGCGGCTACAGGACGGTATTCAGATATTTTTGATGTTGCTTATGTTTTCAAGATCTACACGTCGTGTAAAGGAAAACCCCAACTTTGCGGACACCAAAAGATTTAGATTAGATTCAAGCGGCCGAATCTTAGACGAAGTGTTCATATGATGGATTTGTCATTGCTAGAATTTCCCCAGAACAATCCCCCAGTATTGCTACTTTTAAAAAAAATCTCAGTTCATTAATGCCTGAAACGTGTAAATTACCCCAGAACATTACATCCCCAAGTACAAATCCCCCAAATTTGACGAAATATCTCCCAACATAGCAACCCTGTCAAAGCACAACTGGTAGGCACTACTCCATTCGTTTCGGGGTTATTTTTACAGCACGAACACCATTGCCTAGTTTCTCCTGGTAAAGGGTGTTTCAATAAGAGCGCCGGATTTGATCTAAGATAAACACAATTTCTTTTCGAATTACGCAAGTGGAAGAGAAGAGGAATAGTTGCGATTAAATGACCACCACGAAGCCTCTGGCAGAGGGTCAGTCTTTTCTTAAAATTCTGGATAACGTTTTCTTCGATAACGCGCCGTATCTCTTCTTTAAGGCGTTCAACTGTTTGTGGCTTGTTCGCATACACATTTTCCTTAACATAGCCCCAGAGGAAGAAGTCCATTGGCGTTAGATCGCACGATCTTGGTGGCCAATTTTGATCGCCAAACCGAGAGATGACACGATTCACATAATGGATACTCATGATAAAGACTCTAGTTGACAAATAGTACGTCGAAACGCGGAAACGCTCGAAGATAACGTGACAAAAGCTTTGCTCTGACTAAAGCAAAAATCAAATGCACATCTTACCTGATTTAGTAGACGAAATGGAACTATTTCTGCTTCTAGTAGTCCTTCTAGTGGAACTTGGAAGAGTAGTGTCGTCTTTCTTCCTAGTTCTTTTAGGCGGTGACGGAGACCCCGATTGTATAGAAGTCACAGAATTTGAGTCGGAGTATTTCCTTAATCTTGTTTTGACACCTGAAATGGAAAAATCGTTCTATTCTTAGGAGTCCGTAGGTTAGAAAAGACGCCAGCTGGCCAACAGTAGGGGACACAATGTTTCAAATGCTCTAGGTATCAAGTACTGTCGTAGAATTGGTAACCCAGAAGCCGACACCTCATCTTTTACCATTTCACCAAACCTTTCTTTCCAACAAGATAATCGCTGTTTCCATATTGATGGGGCTGCACCAGACTACCTCAATGATGCTCAGATCACCCTACTTCCTTGGCTTTCTAGATCTCCAGACGATTGGCAAATTAAACATGCGTGGGGTAGGTCGGGAACAAGAGCGACCTCTTTACCTCATGCTCCACAAAATATTCTACTTGCCCTACACTTTGGTACCATCGTACCTTGCAATTCTTCCTACCCGGTCGTGGTATGATTCCAAAACAAAAAAAATGCTTACCTTCTGTAGACTGTACAGGACTTTTAGGTTGCGATTTTGACCTTCCTTGTTTCTTTGGGGTTAAAACCTGAGCAACCGATGTATCTGAAGCTGCTGATGCCGATCTTGTTATTCTTTTACCTGGCCTCACGGAACTTACGGTACTAGCTGTGGAAGACGAGCCTTGGTACACTTTCGCTTCTTCTGAATCGGCTTTTCCTAAGAACAACACAATGGGTTTTACTATGAAACTACATGGAGAAAGGGAAATATCAAACTCATCCTAAGAAATTTGTAACTTATTTTTCAGTTATCCTTATTAAGGAGCCTATGATTTTGAGGTTTATTCATATTTTTTGCACGTTTTCTTTTGAGTTACCTTGGGGACATACCTTGGAATGGCTCTTTGTCAAGAAGATCGATGGGATCAAAAGGTTCCCCTTCTTCTAATTTTTCCATTTCTTCTCTCTCCGGTATGCTAGAATTTCTCATCATATTCGCCTGTTTTCGGGTCAATCTTCGTGTTGAAGTGTAGCGATCCATCGTGGTTTTCTTCCCCAACTGAAAGACACCCTTTTATATGGAAAGAAATTCATCATAAGCAAATTGAATTGTTTTGCGAAAATGTTGCACGATTTAGTCGCGGTGTTCTGACTATAGGCAATAAAACATACTTTTTGCGCGGTTGTAGTAAAGTTATGAGCGTAGCCCACTTTTGAGTTTCTCAACATAAATTTAAAAACATGCTCTTACCTCAACATCTTCAGCGATAACAGGCAGCTCGTCAACCGACATAGTCCTTCTCTTTCCTCTTCTACCCCCTCCAGTACTTGTTGACTCATCCACCGACGATATTCTCCTTCTTCCTTTCTTCGTACTTTCACCTTCATCAACTGGCATTACCCTGTTTTCTTCTTTCTTCTCATTCACACTGCCTTCCGTCTCCACACTACTGCTTCTCAAATTCCTCCTAGATCCCACAGGCTCTTCAGTCAGACTGACACTTCTGGTCTTCCTAGATGATCTCTTCTCTTCAGACTGCTTTGAGGTTGATGGTTGTTCTTTTGGGTCCACCTCTTGTTGAACCAATGAAGTGCTTTTCGTCCTAGCCACCCGTTTCAGTAGCGGTTCCTCAGTCCTCTTTTTGGAACGAGGAGAGTGGACCTCAGCAGTCACTACCACTTCCTTTACAGCATCGCTATCTGTTGTGTCTGAAGAGGACGTGTGCTCTTCAAATCTTTTCAATTTCCGAGCTTTGGATGGCGTTGCAACTCTTTCATCTGAAGTACTCATACCAACATCTGTTTCACTTTCCTTATTATCATTCTTTGACCCTTCCTCTTCCGTCTCTTCAGCAGATCGGGATTTAGTCGTTGGCCTTTCAGATGCAGTGACGTCTTTAGAAGCTGAAACCGTTGTAGATTGATATTCTACATTTGCTGGAATCTCTGTTTCACCAGTGGATTTAGTCAACTCACCTTGTGTTTCATCTGAAGCAAGGTTCGTATCTTGTTTAAGCTGAGATTCAGTAACTGATTTTGATTTAGCTTCATTATTCTTGGATAAACTCGAATGAACCTGCGAAGTGTCCATTTTTACAATATTCATAGTTTCTTCAGGCTCCTCATGGAACTCCATGTCATCTACACGTTTATCAGCGTTTTCAGAAGAATCGCTACTCTTTGAACGATACGAGTTACTTCTAGAGCTGGCACTATCGCTGATGGAGATTACATCATCGACTGCTTTTCTAGTTCTCTCAGTAACAAAATCGTCTTCACGTTCAGACCGCGATTGAAAAATGCAATCTTCTAATTCATCAAACTGAGTCCTTGATTCATCCAAATCGCCCTCTATATTATCTGAATCGCTGGATAGGTCCTGATACACCTTAGACTCTTTCACATCTATGAAGGCACGATTTAGAGACTCCTCTTCAGGTTGGCTTTTGGCAATCTCAGAACTTCTCACAGATACTTCTAAAGGATCAATTTGAGCAGTATTGCCTATATTCGTTTCGAACACAACCTCTAATCTGTCACAACTGTCTTCAGAACCTGACAAGTCCGCGTAGACCTCCGATTTCAAGAAACCTTTATCTAGATCTGATACTGTATAACAGGTGTTTTCATACACAGGTTTCAACTCAGTTAATACAGAATCGGCAATCACAGCTGGTTCTACTACTTCTACACTTTGAACTGGTTTCTCTTCTCCATCTCCAGATTCTTCTGCAGTATGTTCTTTGATTGTTTCTATTTTCGGTCTAGATTCTTTAGCTTTTCTTCTCTCTATGATATAGTTCACTGCTTCTGTGGCTACAATGGAGAGAAATCCTGGAGTGTCTTCATCCACTTCCATTGGTCTATGTTCTTCAACTACTTTGGGAATACTAAATTCTAATTCTGCAAAAAGCTTGGTTGGTTTACTTTGTGCTGTAACATCAGAGCATTCTTTTTCACTTAAATGGATACTTTCTTCAATTTCGTCTTGTCCACTTTCCTCTGGGTTATCATCATCAACGGCAGAGCTTAGCATCACATCAACAGGTTTGATTTCTTCAGTATCAACTTTATCTTCAACTTCTGACTCATTATCACCACTTTTTTTTCTTGCTTCTAGGTAATTGTTATCAACGGTAGAACTTGGCACTTCACCAGCAGGTTTGATTTCTTCAGTAGAAAATTCAAGTTGAATTGAATCTGATTCAACTTTATCTTCAACTTCTGACTGATTATCACCACTGTTTTTGTTTGCTTCCAGGTAATTCTTATCAACGGTAGAGCTTCCCGTTACATCAGTAGGTTCGTTTTCTTCAGTATCAACTTCATCTTTAACTTCTGACTCATCATCACTACAGTTTTTACCAACTTTTCTACCCTTAATCCACTCGTCAGCCAACTGAGACAAAAATGAATCATCACCCTCAGAATTTTTCTCAGCGTGTTCTATTCGTTCTTCTTTGTGCACCGAGTCTATCAACCTGAGGCTTCTTTGATTTTCTGAGATTTTTTCAGATACCTGGGACTCGATTTCTAGAGATATAACTTTGGTAGAATCTGCAGATGTTTCTGTGATCACCGTCGAATCTTTTTTGGTAACTATGACCTCCTTATAAACGTATTTGGAAGACTGTAGCGCAGAAAAAGCGTTATGCTCCAAGACTTGTCGACTCAGAGGTTTCCTTCTGTTGACCTGAAGCAATCTTGGCGATTGTTTGGGTGATTCAGAAACAGACGTAGAAGGAGATTCCGAAGATGATGTTTCGCTTGATATGCGTATTGCTGGAGATGCGCCCACAGATGATATTCTGATAGATTTATCCACCGAAGACGCCCTTGTCCTCCTAGGTTCAATTGAAGGTGACTCCGTTCGACATTTTTCTACAGAAGACGCCCTGGTTCTCCTAGGTTCCAGAGCAGCGGATTCATCATAAGACCTCTTGTAACTCCTCCTAGCTTTAGGTGACTGAGGTAGAGTTTTGGTTTCATCATCAGCTGCATCATCTTTCATTGAAACATCTTCAGATCTCTCCACTGAAGAAGCTCTCGTCCTTCTAGGTGATTCAATGATGGATTTGTCTACTGAAGACGCTCTGGTTCTTCTAGGTGATTCAATGAGGGATTTGTCTACAGAAGACGTTCTGGTTCTTCTAGGTGATTCAGTGAGCGACTTGTCTACAGAAGAAGCTCTAGTTCTTCTCGTTTCAAGTAATGATGACTCATCATGCAACGTCTTATAACTTCGCCTTGCTCTGGGTGACTGTGGCATAGTTTTTGTCTCATGGAGATCTATGTCTACATCATGTTTAAGCTCATCTTGTCTAGGCACCTGCATTTCAGCATGTTCTACTACATTTTGTTCAGGCTCTTTAATAGCAGAAGAACTACCTTTCCTGGCACCTTCATCCAAAGAAGAACTTGGAGAATAAAAACTATCAGTTCCACTAGATTCTTTAGATGAAACCATCATGCTAGCGTCTACGGAAGATAGCGAAGATAGCCTCTTCTGTTCTGCTTCTTGTATTAATCTGTCTTCTATACAGATAGATGATTCATTACCGGTACTGTCTGCTACAGGTATTCTCAAACTAGAATCATCGCTCAGTGATGTGGAAAATCTAGTTGTTTCATCAAACTGAATTTTCTTTGGCGTATTCTGTGTTGGCATTCTGCAACTTAAGGATATTATCCTAGAATCATTTCTAATCGCGAGGTCATCGTAAGTCTGAGACAAAGGATCATCCTGACTCTTTACTTTAAGGATACTATGAGGCGTAGCGTTTAAACGAGATTCTTGATCTGTACAGGTGGATCTCTTGACAATAGGAGTTAACATCTTCGAATGCATGCTCTGATTCGCCAGAGGACTAACAGTACTTCCTCTTGGTGAAAGCCTCAACCTCTTAGCAGGTGTTGGGCACTCCTCTTCATAATCGATAACATGAGGTGTAACTATAGTTGTAACAAGTCTGGATTTTTTTCTAAGCGCGACGGGAGTTCTCAAAAATGGAGTTCCCTCGGTAGATAGATTGAGTTTGTTGTCCAAAAACGTACTTTTAGCTTTTGATATCGCTGCATGGATCACTGTTGACTTATATTGGACTTGCTCGTTGTTATCATGGACAAATACTGATAAAGGTGTTGGTCTGGTTAGTTTCGTCCATACAGATGCTCTTTCTTTGCGAACGTACTCCACGAGATTCTTGCTGACGTCTGGTAGGTATTTTTTGAAGATTTTCACTACATGGTCACTTACTGACGCATTTTTCTGGCCAGACAAACCTAGCGAATCTGGATTTCTCTTCTTGATGTTCGTATGTACGTCAAATGCTTCTATAAATCTTGCTCTCAATAGATAATAGAACACTTGCAAATCTTCAAAATTCGGATTGTTAATCGATTTCAGGTAATCGAAAAATGCTTTTTCTTCTTTTGTATCCAAGCGTCTATACAACAGGTTCTGCAGAGATCCACTTTTGTTACATTCTCGGAAAAGATGTTGAAGTAGAATCTGTATATTCGCACTATTATGTTGATTCTTGAAATAGAATGCTTCATCCAACATATTGTTAGCAACAAAAAGACTGATGGCTGTCAATATATCCTTCTCACTGTTAATAGGCGGCTTCCTAACTTGCATATAGAACAATGCTAGGTTGTTCTGTTCTTGCAACAGTAGCGCTCTCATAGCAACATTATGTTGCCAAGGTTGGAGATCATTGTTAGAAATCTGTGGGTCCAACATCAGTTCCATCGCAGAGGCAAAATCGCCGTGATCCAACTGCCAAAACGCCTGAGTGATTTTTATCAAGCTTGGTGGTACTTTAAAGACAGCAGGAAACTTTATCAGATGCGTTATAACACCAGAGTACCTTGTGTGGTCCAATGTCATGGCTAAGTCTAAAAATACGTAAATGACCAATGTGTGTTTATAGAGCAAATTCGCTTCTGGAACCAAGTAGCTCCTCAATAACGATTGTAGAGAGGGCGGAGGATAAAGCCCGCTACCTCTGTCATCTTGCCATTGCTTTTGAAGCTGTTCAGCGCCACATTTTATAGCGATGAGATTATCTATGAAGAGCAGTTGGTCAGAGCTCGCAAACGTGTCTTTACTCAACAGTCTTAACTGTGCCCTTCTTTCATTGTAATACTTGGTTAGCTCAACTACAGGGTACGGGGCATTGACTTTTTCCGAGTTGTCTTTTGGATATACAGACTGGTGACATTCTGGTAATAATCCTACGTTTACCATCCACACCAGAACTTCAAAATAGATGGAAACCATGTCCAAACTTGCGGCTTGTTCTTCAACGACACGAGGTAGTGCCAGGTAGTTATGCAATTTTCCAAGAACGAAAGCGTAAAATGTACATAAATTGTTGATCTGCCTGGTACAACTGTTTAACAGAATGCTAGTATTGCTATCCAGAGGCAGTTGTGAATAATCGAAAAGACTTTTGCAGTACCTGTCGCAGGTGGTTTTAAGGGTGACTGCTCTGTGAAATGCCCAGTTTAGTAAGAAATCCAAAGAACAACCTGCCGAAGAAAAACTACCATTTGCCCATTCTGACGCGCATTTGCACAACCATCCTGTCAAATGATGTTCCAGTCCTACATTCAATATGATTTCTCTCTGGGACTCAATAGTTGTCGACGTGTTGACTTGCAGGTCAACAAATAGTGGCGTCAGTCCCAGATTTATAACCTGTTGATAAACATCATTTGTTCTAACAAGACATAAGGGTCCTGCTGATTCTATTTGAGACAGTAATGCCTTTTGTAAGCTGTCACTATGAACAACAATAATGTCATTTTCTCGCACAACATAGACATCGAAAGATAGTGCTGTTGGGTAGAAGTGCTCTTCAAGTTTTTGTACCCCTAAAAACTGGTTCAATGATTTAGTAATGACTCTGCAATCTAATATGAGTGACAGTTTGTGGCCAGACATCAAAATCTGCTCTGTAAGACTAGTTTTCAAAATGTAGGTGGAACTTTCTTTCCAGCTCGAAAAAGTAGGCATTTGCTCTTTATACCATTGATTCAAATCAAACACTAACATATTTGTTTGGGTTTCACCTCTATCAAACCATACTGTCCAGGATATTTGTGTCAGCGCCAGCACATCACTCGTTGATTTTGTTGCGGAGTCTTTATTATTTGGTTGTTTATAAACAGGCTGGAAGTTCAAAATACATCCACCTTTTGTTTTGTTGGTACTGTGAAGCACACCCAATTCTATTTGGAACCGAACAGTACAAAACTGAAAATCTTGATACAGATATCCATACCCTTCATGGTGTTCTTTAGAACCATAGCAAAAGAATACATTACGGCAAATGGAAATCCTCCTTGGTATAGCTCTGTGTTGCTGTACGCAACCCACACATAGCAAAAAGCTCTTGGATCATCTGTAGGTTCTAGAAAAGCAAACTGAGTGATTGGTAGATGATCTTCACACACTGGAGATGTATATATTAAGGATAAAGTTGTTAAATCCCAAAGTTGAAATGCTCCAAAGTTGAATCCAACTAGAAGTGAAGTTAGTTGCGAACAGTAGTATAGTTTACTTACAGATACCTCTTCTTTATTCACAAACAGTTTATTTTCATTCTGGGGACCTTTCAGAGTAAAATGTTCTGTTTTACTATCCAACACAATATTCAAATGTATAGCTAGGTGATTGCCTTCTTTTATACACTGCTCTTTATACCTCTCTACTTTATCAACTTTATGTGGAGGAATGATTACAATTTGACATGGAGAAATTTCATCCCTAACTTGCTCTTGATCCATACAAATCTGCCGGCAGATGTCTATGAGTAAAATATCACCACCTAACGTTCCTACAGCTAAAATTCCATCAAAACATCGAAGAGATCCTGGTAAATTCAACACCTCTAAAGCTGAATCCACAACATTCATATTACTGATTCTTTCTTTGACATGAATGGCTCTGATGACTCTAGAACTGCCAGCATCAAAAATACATATTGAGCCTCCACTAATAGAACAATCGAGTCCAACTGCAAGCAATGGTAAATGCCCATTTGACGTATCAACCTCTTCGACACAAACAATTTTGGTATTAGAGTCTCTGAGGACACATCCAAATGTCCAAGCGCCTATTTTGAATCCTGATTTACCGTTTCTCACTTCTAAGCATGATCCTTTAGCATGCCAGACGTATTTTCCTTCAGATAATATGCCCCCCAGTACTGGCCATGCTGTAAAAATCATTTCATAAATTTCTCATCATAACAATTCAGATTTAAAGTGTTTCATTAGCGTTGAGGCAAACAGAAAAAATACTTGGTGGAATACTTTAGGAACCAGCTTCATAAAAACAATGACAGTAGTTTAACTAAAATGAGTTTGTTAAAGACATCACTTACCCGATTGTACAACTTCATTGGAATCATTTTGAGGGATAAACTGCAGGGTATTTTGTGGGAACGGGGTTATCTTCGAAATGGTGAACGACATTTTTGTTGTTATAGAAAACGCAAGCTCACCGCATATGCATTATAAACGTTTGAAAATGAGCCGTTATAAACTGCGAATTTCAAAAAGATAAGATCGGAATTTACTTGTTTCAAATTCCACACCAAAAAACCGACACTAATTAACAAGATAACCTAGAATTTGAGCCTTGACGTTTTCGGCCGTTTTTGACATGCTTGATGTTTATACTTTTGACCACCTTTTGACATCTTAAAATCGCATCATCTAGTGTTGAAATTTGAAACCTACATTACGACATACACGGTGGCGCATCGAAAACGAAACAGACGCATTTATTGGCAGCTCAGTTTTTTTTTTGAAAAACGTTCAGACTCGTCGATTTTGTTTTCGAGGGGGACACAAGTTTGGCAAAAAATCACGTAAGCACGTGCAGCCCCCTAAGCGGGGGTGACACCACCCCCAAAATCTTAAATGGAAAGGGGGTGGAGTGATACCTTATTTTAAAGGTCTTTCAATTCCCTTTATGATGATATGAAATTAGTACACTTCAGTTCAGTAGTTTTGAAGATTTATTGATTTAAAGCTTAAATAAAACTAATACATCATCGTTAGTGGAGATCAATACATTTGGCAGCAAAGTAATTTAAAAATGAAGAATGAACGTTAGGCAATTATATTATATTATAATAATTGTTGAAAATGGCCACCATGACTCTCAATGCAATAATAAAGATTTTGGTCAAAACGTTACCGCACATTTTGCAATATTTGAGGAGTAATTTGAAGGCACTCATTCACAATTCTTTGTCGCAGGTCTTCTAATGATGTTGGCTGAGTAGCATAGATTTTGCCCTTTAAATGACCCCTCATAAAGAAATCCAAAGGTGATAAAACTGGCGATCTTGGGGGCCATTCAGTGGCACCTCTTCTACCAATCCATCGATCTGGAAACGTCTGATCTAAATAATGCCGAACACGTAATGCGTAATGTGGTGGGGCACCATCCTGTTGGAACATCATCCTATTCGCGATGTACCGCCGATCATTCTGATTTTTAATTATGGTTGTTAATGTAGGATCTATGGCGTCTTCCATTAATTCCAAATACATTTCACCGGTCAAATCTCCAGGTAAGAAAAAAGGACCAACTAAATGATCGCCAAAAATACCAGCCCAAACATTTAATTTTTGTGGCTGCTGTGTATGAACCGCATGATAAATTCTGAGATTAGAATCGGACCAATATCGGCAGTTATGACGATTTACTACGCCATTTAAGAAAAAGGAACATTCGTCGGAAAAGCAAGTGTTGAATAGAAAATGATCATTTATAATTCGTTCGATCATATCTTCACAAAATTGTAATCGCCGATCAAGATCGTCTTCATTAAGTTCTTGTACCAGGTGAATTTTATACGGATGAAAACTATGGGCCTTTAGAATGCGTTGGACAGTACGTCGACTAACACCACGAACAGTCTCCAATTTGTGGGTACTTAACGTAGGATCTACATAAACTTGCCCTAAAACCACCACTTCTATTGCTTCGTTCCTTATGGGATTTTCAATGTTGCGTTTTTTATTGGCGACTGACCCATTTTCCCGAAATTTAGCTTCCAGTTCTAGAACATATTTTCGATGCACGTTACTGTTCTCATGTCGCTCATTAAATATTTCTGCTGTTCTATTAGCGCACTGATTATTTCCGAAAAATATTTCGATAAGTTCAACTTTTTATAATGTAGAATATACCATGGTTAATTTAAGTAATAAAGCGTTACAAGTTATTTTAGCAACAAAGTTTGGTCAAATCAATCGCAAACTATGTACATTCCTATTTAAAATAAGTACGAGATATTTCCTTATCTTTCTTCAAGAAATAACTTTTTTGCCACAAAAAAAACGCTCCAATAGCTATTTTTAACAACAAAATGTTAAACAAAGCATGTGCGTAGTGAAGAAAAGCCTTTACTTATTAAGTAAATTCTTTTAGTCAAATTTCTTCTGAAAGTAGTACAAACTAATCTGATGTACCTATTAAAGTCTACTTTAAGCTTTAAATCAATAAATCTTCAAAACTATCGAACTGAAGCTCATGTATTTTACATCATTATAAAAGGAATTGAAAGACCTTTAAAATAAGGTATCACCCGACCCCCTTTTCCATTAAGATTTTAGAGTTGGTGTCACCCCCTGCACGTGTTAACGTGATTTTTTGCCAAACTTGTGTCCCCCCTCGAAAACAAAATCGACGGGTCGCGTTTTTCCAAAAAAAACTGAGCTGCCAGTAAATACGTCCGTTTCGTTTTCGATACGTCACCGTGTATATTTATGCGATAGCTACAAATTCCACTAGATGGCGCGGTGGAAAAATGTTCGTTACCTGGATTAAACATTCCAGTTCTATATAAATGACCACCCTGTCAGCTCACAGCCACATAACTCATATATGAGTAAAGCCACGCCCGATTTACTTCTCGCCCATAATCGGAGATCAAAATAATAAAGTAAAATTCCCCAAACCCCCAACTTAGTGACTTATCTGTCATCAACAAAAATGTCCATTTTCCGTCAATAATTTACCTAGTTTTCCAGTTTTCATCAGATTCGAACTGTGTTTTGGGCATAAATAAAACATGGTATGTAAAACCATCCCTAACTTATAGGACCTGCTAGTTCAAAAGATACCCTATCGGCTTGTCCACATATTTTTTATACAACAATCCCACAAAAGATTAGAAAAATAAAAAAACATTCCTTTTTTACAAAATGTACAGAAATGCTGCATTATTTAGTCTTAATTTTTCCGTAGCAAATATTACGGCACATCGATGTTGAAGAATGGGACAATTGATGTTATACCTTCATGTACTTATCGGATATCGCCGATGTTTATCCCAAAATCAATAAAACGAGCATCTGTCACGATACAGTATACTACTGGATTGTTACCAATTCTTTAAAGATAGTTTAATTACGTTAATATTTAAGAAATATCTTATAACTGCATGTTTTGCATGTCGTTTGAACTGTAGGATCTAGGGCCCACATATTTTTTTGACTTTGCTTCAATTTTTTATATAACATATAACGATATTTTAGTTTACTTATTATTATATTATTGCATTTGAAGCCAGTGCCGTCGCGATCTGGTAGTGTTGTGCTTAGCACATGGGCGGGTCTCCCAAGCGGTAAAAACATGAAAACATGCAGTAAGACACCAAAGTCCTGGAATGGCACTGTATTTCCTCGGATAAGGTATTTTTGGAAAAGATCAAGGTCACGACTTCAGTGAATTAGAGCTAGCCTTGAATTTGACGTTCACTTTCAAGGTTAATTCTTAGCCAATTTTATTTTTTCAAATAGAAACTCCTATTTTTGAAAGAACAGAAAATTCTGTGTTCAAACACAATTAAAGTCCAAGGTCAAGAATTACGGGAAATCATCACCGCGCCCGCGTTGTGTGTAATTACTGTTAGCATGTATATGGCATGTAATTCGACAGTGTACAGTGAATATAATTATTTCTTATCTCTCTCATTTTTGAACTTCAGCAAATTTGTATATGTAATTTCCAGAATGGATAAGAAAAAGTGGATGTGTAACTAATTTCTAGCTTTGAATCTCAATTAAGTGTATTTGGGACAAGAACCCAATGTAATTATCATCAATACATACAACTTACAGCTTAGACCTCCAGTAATCCCATCTCAGATGCGGATTTTACATCACATCAGAGCTAAAGATTCATAACAAGCCTCATGACCTTTAGGCAACTACAACTAAGTGCTAAGTCAACGTCTTGGCGAAAAACCTACATAATGTCAAAAAAAACAGCATAATGTCACTTTTCAAGATACTTGATACCCGTGCGGGTCTTAGGTAAATTTCAACAAGGAAGTGAACGCAGACCTTGGATTGGAACTTGACCTTCACCTTCAAGGTTATTTCAAGGTCAACGTAATATTTTTATTGGAAAACCCCTATTTTCGATGCCCGCAATCGAAAGAGCGGGAATTTTTATATGCATTAAATTTCAAGATCAAGATCACCGCTGGAGGCCAAATAGGTTAAATAAAGGTCAAATATGTGATCTCGCAGATATGACGAAAATAATTGGTAAGGCCTTTACTAAATTTTCACAAGTAGCGGTAGCCTTGGATTTGACCTTGAATCACACCTTCAAGGTTGTTTCAAGATCAACTTTATTTTTCCAAATAGAAACACTTATTTGCTGACGACAGTCCAGAGAGCCGAAAATCGGATGTTCAAATGTGTATTAGAATTTAAGGTGAATGTGACCACTAGAAGTCACATAAAGGCCAAATGTGTGCTGGTAGGAAAACTTCTAGAAAACTCACACGAGTAGTGACGAAAATAACGGGCATCTTAGGGTACTTTCAAGTCATCCTAACCTTGGTCTTCGATTGTTTTTGAACGTAAAATTTTCTGTTCTTCCGATTGCCGGCATCAAAAATATTTGAAAACATTAAGTTGACCGTAAATTTACCTCGAAGGTGAAGGTCAAGGTCAATTTCAGGCTCACCGCTGAATTCCTTGATGGAAGTTACTGACGCCTGGCCTTTCCCAAAAATATCCCGAGAAAATACAGAGCCGTACCGGGACTTAACGAAATTTATGATCAAAATCAAATGGAAAATATGTAGTGAAAATTCCCAGTCGCATTGACGTCGTAGTGCCTGTTATTTGTTAAAATGATCCTTGGTTTGTACTATGTTTAATGAGTGATTGTTATTCTTCAGTTTCTGTTCTGTTTATATAAAATAATAGAGGAAATCAAGACTCATAACTAAAATAACCCACCACTGATAACGATGCTACAGGTTGCACACTGATAAATTTACAGTATAATATGCTTGAATCACAAGCTTAAATTATGGAAACAAAAAATAATACAACTTAATGGCAAATGTCACATGATCAGTAATTACTGTTGTCCGTACTATTAGTGGGTAATTATTATTTAATCAGTGTCATTGGATTTCTAATTGACCTTGTACGTCAATAGTTACTGAGGTACTAGCTACACAGTCAATAAAAATCACAGTCCATGATAAATGTAAATACTGATTGTGTGATATTTACCTATGATAAAAGATGATAAAAACAATAAAATGAAAAAACAATAAGAAAATAAATAACCTATTCAAAATATTCAATTAAGTTAAAAGTAGAAAAAAAAAGAACAAAAGACAAAGAAAATATGATTCTGCAAATTAGCAAATTAAGAAAGAAAATATGAAAAAACAAATAAAAGACTTAACGATTTTAAGAAATAGAGCAGATTTTTAAAAAAAATCTTGTTATACATTTAATTTAGAGTAGATTACATGTGCCATAAACATAAAAAATGTATACACGTTTAGATATTCTAAATTTCTAAGAATTTGTATTGTATAGTATTAATCACACGTATAGTATTTTAAGTCTGCTGCTATTGAGAATTAAGTTATTTGAGGAAAATGTTTTGTAAGGACTAAAATAAAAAATTGAATATCCCATTCACCCTTCCCGTTTCCTTAGGAGTCTTATGCATGTGAGCTCTTCCTGCTTTAAATTCTCTTCATACTCTTTTTCTTCCTTAGTCGTTTGTTCAGCTCCATCTAATGCATGCAAACTCCATGACTTTTTGCAGAACTTTGCAAAAAAAAAACTGCTTTATTTTTTCTTAGCATCACCATGGCCAGTCACCACTTCATCCCGGTTTAGTGGTGATTTCATTCGGTGTCGCGAAATGTCGCTGCCAGTGTCTCAATACGAGGCGCTGTTGGCTGAGGTACGCGGCTTAAGGCGCAAGGCTCAGCGGGTGCAACAACTTGCCAGGCCTCTGGTCGAGGGGGATTCACAAGTTGAAGGTGCCGCATCATCTTCAACAACTGCAAGCTGTAGACATCATCAGGTAGGTGCCGTTTATATTTGTTCATATGGAAATTCGGTAGATTCGATGACAAAATCGGTACGAGGAAAATTTCATCGATGGATCAAAAGTACATTTTTGTACACAAAAAAAGCCATTATAGGGAAAGCCGAATATAATTTTATTGTAGGCAACCAAAATCTACGTCCCTCGTATGTGTGACTTCCCAAGTATACGCTTAATAAGTATGACTGGTATAGGGTATAAAACTACATAGACTACATATAATTCCTTTTTTTTTTTTAGCTTTAATTTTGATTCAAGCTCTGTTTCGGTAGAAAACTTGGAAGTATCCAAATTATTTTAAAAGATCGTTTTCGGTATTTCGGTGAAATAGGTCTCATTTCGGTAGAAATACCGAAAAATCGGTAGGCTCGGCAACACTGGGGCCGAATGCATAGTGTACATGCTGGTGCATAATTATGTCGTGGTCATATCGTAGAAATGACCATTTCATGAAATGGCCAACTAATTTTGACCATATCGTTATATTGTCAACGTTTAACCACAGCCGACGTCAACTACGAGCCGTGATGAAAGAAAGGCAACACCGCACTCGGACGGCATGGTAGTGCTACCTGTGAACGTCGGACGCCAGCGGCTGTGTGCTCCGTCTCCGTGTAACGTTCAAGAACTAAATTTAATTTTGGAAAAGAGGCAGTTCGATTCGATACAAATCGTCTGAATATGAAATAGCTGTAAAAAATTTAAAAATACGAAATAATCGTGATATATATGAGTCGCTAATGCAGATAACCTAATTAAAAGTATTTAGTTTACGTTTTTTGGTGTCAGCACGCTGTGTTCCAACAGGCCCAGCTTGGAAATGTGGAGTTACCTGTTTGTTTTTAATACATTTACTTTCAGTTTTACTGTTATTTTTCAATTTTGCATAATTATTCAAAATTATGTTTGAAAAAATAGACAAAAGCTTAGATAAAATATCTGCATAATTGCGGCCACAGATGCAAGTTAAAGAAAATTCACTGTATATAAAGTCAGACTGAATGCTGAGCAAGGTTAACTGACACAAAATAAATTTTTGATTATTGCTTTTCAAGAAGAAAATTTCCAATCTATCTACATTAATAATAGATTCAAAAATGGCATACATATGGTAGAATATGATTGGTACATAACTGGTTGGAATTGACAGTCCTCCTCTTTGCAAATGATCAAAATAAACATTTGTTGTTAAAGAACCTTTTTCTTTAACTATTAGCGATTTGCATATCTCGCAGTTTAGGTTTTTAGAGATAGCGTGTGAAGCCTATCCAGATATATAAGTCTTAGTACTATCCTCTATGTCACAATTGGCTAAGTAATTTGTCTCAAATACTTCATTGAATATATCCAAAACTTTTGTTTGGTATCCAAGAAATCAAAATTTTCTTGAGCTTCTAAGCAGTTTTGGAACCTTGTTTTAATTTCTGCTAAAGAAAATGATGATTTCTTTTCATTGAAAATATGCTTCAGCCGTATTTTCTTTTCAGCATTTAAAATTTCATCATATGACACACATTGTAATTGCAGCCACATAAAAGTCTATAATTGCCAAATCGTTTTTCTAAATTATCAGTGGTGAATTTTCCAGGCAATGTCAAATTGATTAAATGAATATTCAATTATATTAAGTAGAGTCAGCGTGCTTTGATATAGAGCTGTATACGTTTCTGGTGTCAGGTGTCCATTATTATTCTCTAGATTATGCCATTTTTCTAACCATATCAGGAATTTTTTTAAAAATTGTACTCTATAATCATATTTATTGGTAATAGGCTTACAAAATTCGTTTCGCTTCAATTCTCCTTTTATTACACTTGTATTACTGACAATATTCCACCAATTCCTGATTATTTCCAAAAAGTGTGCAGCATCATTAAACTTTAATTCTTTCATAGCAGCTATTGTTGAGTGATGGAATAAATTATCTACAAAATTTACATTTTGCCTTTCAAATGAATTTGGATTTTCAATGTTTTATAATTTAATTTATATGCTTTCTTAACTACAGCTTCTTTTTCCAATTGATATACAGCACGAATGTTTTCAAATTTAGCATACTGAGTAATATCATTATTGTCAAAATTAGGATATACAAAAGTTTTGTCTAGGTTTTTTAAATTAATCCAATTATTTCTGATACTCTTGAAAATATGCACAACATCATAAGTTAAATATATGTTCTTATCAGGATTATGTGGATTTGGAATAGAATAATTTTCTGATGAATCCTTTGCTAATTTCCTGAACATTGCTCTATTAATTCGGTGATTATCAGTAACAGCACAAATAACTTCAAATCCACATTTTTGAACCAAATTTATCTTTGATCTTATCCATATCATCGAAATTCTGGATAGCTTTTTCATGTTTCTCAATTAATTTTTGTTTTCTTTGCATTGGGTCAGTTCTTTTGGGTGCTTCAGTTTTTGAAAGATATGATGGCAAGTTTGGGAAAATGGAGGGAACAGCATTTTCTTTCAATTTTGGATATTTCAAAGGTATATTATTTTGGACTGTTCCATCCGCCAAAACTATATTTTTTGTCCTGATGATATCCGATTCTCTAAAATGACGACTGCACACAGCTGAATATTTTGAAGCTGTCCAATTTTTTCTGGGAATTGCCATAAGCCATTTGTTTTTCAGACTTTCGGTACTTGGGAAGCGAAAAGTTGAAACATAGCTTTCTGTTTTCAAAGCAGAATTATAGTTTGCATTGCATAAAGGAACACAGCATATCGTCTGCGTCAAATACTTGATAAATGAAAAAAGAAAAATACAACCTGAATTTGCACGTTTTCAATAGTTGAAATCCTTAGCGTCCTGAGGCGCGAACAGCCACAGTCACACTTCTTAGTTTATTTTTAAAGCACAGAAGCACTACAACTGGAGTCTATTTCTCATATATTATAGTCACCGATCACTTTGAACACATACACACACTTTGAAGCTTAGAAAACAAGCTTATCTCTTAATTAAAGCCTCTGGGATTCCAAAATCACAAATTGAAAAGGTTATGTTTTCTCAGCGTTTTGAGCACGAGTTGCGTCGATGCAGCAAGCAGCGGCGGGAGTAACACTACCACCTACGTTGCCAGATTTCTTTGTTCACGGCTCGTAGTTGACGTCGGCTGTGGTTTAACTATTCATATCGTAATATCGTCAACGTTTATCGATTTTGTCGTTTTAAACTCACTTATCTTCCTCATTTAGCAACAATTAATCAGAATTTTCACTCCTAAAAACAACTTTATTACTAACATAGCGTTCCGAGCACCTCTATGGGTAATTAATGTAATTATTTTACGATTTAAACATGCTTGACCATGCTAATTATTTATTTTCCTTTTTACACTTAATTGTGTACAGGAATCGTCAGAAAATACATTCATAAAATGCAATATAGGATTTAAATAAAATACAAACACAGGAAAACCAGATTTGTCTGACGGCTTGAGTTCAATGTGTACGAAAGACAAGCGCGATGTGTATCAACACATGTTAGAAAGAGACAGAGGCTGGCTGAAGAGGTCATCACCACATTGCTTAGCAACGGTGATGTACGTTGCCACGTTGCCAATATGTTACTCCAGAAAATGTTCGCACAAGCTTCTACCATAATACTGGACAACAAATTTTAGTTTTTTAATTGTATCTTGTGGGAAAGTGCACTTCTTTGTTAATTTTGGGGCGCTGAATCCAAAAATGACAATGAAATAAAAAAATTAGTTGCGGTTTAGAAAAAAAACCTTTTATCTTTAAGGATATATTAAAAAAGTAACAAGATTCATATACTTATAAGAATCACTATATGCGCTGTCTTTTTGCTGTTCTTTTATGGATCGTTTCTGGAGCAACTCTACCAAGAGTCCAACAGTAGTCTGCAAGCATGGAAGGATTCCACTTTCCCTGGTACCTTTTTTCCATTGTTGAAATATCCTGATGAAAACGTTCGCCGTGCTCATCACTTACGGCTCCGCAATTGTCAGGAAAAAAAGTCCAGGTGTGAGTGTAGGAAATGTATCTTAAGAGACATATTACAGCCCATCTTTTGATACGATGACAGCATATTTTTGACAAGGGTTTTATAGTTGTCAGCTTTTCTATTTCCCAAGAAATTAGTGACCACCAGACGGAAATCATTCCAAGCAGTTTTTTCAATACCTGTTAAAGTGTTTTCAAACTGTGTATCTTTCAAAATATTTCGAATCTGTGGCCCAACAAAAATACCTTTTTTAACCTTTGCCTCACTTAGTCTTGGAAATTTCTGACGCAGGTATTGAAAAGCTGACCCATCTCTATCTAATGCCTTGACAAAGTTTTTCATTAGGCCCAACTTGATATGCAGTGGTGGTAATAAAATTTTTTTCGAATCTACTAATGGCATATGCTGTACATTTTTTTGACCTGGCTCTAGGAATTGACGAACAGGCCAGTTTTGACTGGTGTAATGAAGTGCCTTTGCCCGACTGTCCCATTCACACAAAAAACAGCAAAACTTTGTGTAGCCTAGCTGCAGCACAAGTAAAAGTGCAACAACTTTCAAATCGCCACAAATATGCCATTGGTGCTCATCGTATTTTATGCATGTCAATAGGTACTTCATATTGTCATATGATTCTTTCATGTGAACTGCATACCCTACAGGAAGAGAAGGTAAAATATTTCCAATATGCAATAACACTGCCTTTAAACTCAATGTTGAACTGTCTATA